TTCGAGCCCAAGTTAGGACAGCTGCCCGCAATATAGTATCTTGACAAAGAAGAGAGTGCTTTGGGGAAGAAACATTTGGTGCAGGGTTATATATGTTTTCTACATAAATAGTTACAAATCATGATGCTGAAGGACATTCCAGAAAGATCCAGACTTTATCTTATGCTTTTAGCATGTTAAGGCTGTATGACTTTAATCTTATGGAAACCAGGGATGTTTGTTTTGTTTTTCTTATCTTTTTGTTTGGAATACTCCTTTTTTGGTTATTTTTTGAACGACGCAGACATATAATGTGTGCTCCAGGCAGAAAGAGAGCCTTTGCTTTGAGGTTTTGCTGAGTCATTTTGACCTTGGTGGGAGATATTAAAGCATAGCTTCCCTGAGAGCCCAGTAGCAGGGCTCACAAACGTTAAAAGTTGAAAATTTCCTTTATCATTGGCTGCTTAAATATTTCTTTTTAAAAAGATTTTATTTATTTATTTGACAGAGAGAGACAAAGCGAGAGAGGGAATACAAGCAGGGGGAGTGGGAGAGGGAGAAGCAGGCTTCCCACGGAGCAGGGAGCCTGATGCGGAGCTGGATCCCAGGACCCTGGGATCATGACCTGAGCTGAAGGCAGATGCTCAACGACTGAGCCACCCAGGCACCCTTGGCTACTTAAATATTTGCTCAGTTTTTTAGCCTCTAGCAACTTTCTGCCTGGTTTTTCTGAATTTTGCCCCACCCATGTGTGCGGAAAGGGCACAGAATGCTGGGTTTACCTTTGTGTTCCCTGCTTTCCAGGAATTTGGCCCTGCAAGTTCTGCTTTGGTTACTCTCATCAGAGAGAACTTTTCAAATAGTTCTGCCTTACGTTTTATCTATTTTTATGGTTGTTCTTAGGAGAATGTTTGGTTTGGAAAAGCTAGTCCATCATAGCCAGATAGAAAGTTCTTTGTGGATAACTTTGATTTTTAAAAATTAAAGCTAGGATTGTCAACTTCAATTAAAAAAAAAAAAACAACCAAAACCAAAAAAACTAAGTTTATGGACATTTCATATTTCAAACCTAGTTCACAAGCTATTAAGTATGTTAATCTAAATCTTTTTAATCTAAATCTTTTGTAACTTGTCTAACGAAGCATTTTTAAACTCCTTTTATAAATTTAATACTGTTTTTGGTTTAAATTCTTTACCTGATTCACTATTAGTTTGGTTTTCTAGATCATTTTTTTTTTTTAAAGATTTTATTTATTTATTTGAGAGCGAGAGAATGAGAGCGAGCACATGAAAGGGGGGAGGGTCAGAGGGAGAAGCAGACTCCCTGCTGAGCAGGAAGCCCGATGCGGGACTCGATCCAGGGACTCCAGGATCATGACCTGAGCCGAAGGCAGTCGCTTAACCAACTGAGCCACCCAGGCGCCCTCTAGATCATTTTTATACCTAATTCTAAATCTTCCTGGAATTTAAATATAGTCACCCATTATGGAAGGGATTATATCATCCCAAAAAGTTTTGTTGGAGTTTATTTTCTTGGCTAATTGAGGGAGCATAACAACCAAGGGTATAAAGTCTGGAGCTATAAATTCAGAGAAATTTCTCTTGTTTCTGACTGCCAGAATTAACCCCCTTTTTTGTAATAACTACGTCATAAAGTCCAAAATAAAACAAAAACAAAAGCAGGGTGTTGGTGATCATGTGGTCTGCCCCTAATCTTGAGTTGTCTCATAATCTGGTTTTCAAACCAGGCAAGTCTGTCTCCCATTCATCTTTCTTCTGCTTCATGAATTTTGATTAATTTTCATATTCTCTATTTACTTTCTAAATATTTAATTGACAGCTAATTGGAGTTTATGCATTCATAGTTGTGTCTGCCTCCCTAATATAGTTCCCATGGTTGTTCTTATCCCTGCAATATGGCCTATTCATTGGAAATGGAACTATATATTGTATTCCAGTTTAAAACGGACTTGTTTTTAAAAAATGCTTGGGTGCCTGGATGGCTCAGTCATAAGCGTCTGCCTTTGGCTCAGGTCATGATCCCAGGGTCCTGGGATCAAGCCCCACATCGGACTCCGTGCTCTGCAGGAAGCCTGCTTCTCCCTCTCCCACTCCCCCTCTTGTGTTCCCTCTCTCACTGTGTCTCTTTCTGTCAAATAAATAAATAAAATCTTTAAAAAAAATTGAAAAAATAAAAAATGCTTAATATATTTTATTGAACCCACTATATCCCAAAAAAATTTTTTTAAAGATTTTATTTATTTATTTATTTATTTATTTATTTATTTATTTATTTGAGAGAGAGAGTGTGAGCTCACGCATGGGAGGGGCAGAGGGTGAGGGAGAAGGAGAAAGAATCTGAAGCAGACTCTGCGCTGAGCACAGAGCCCATTGGGCTCCATCCCAGGGCCACAAGGTCATGACCTGAGCCAAAATTAAGAGTCAGATGCTTTAACTGTCTGAGCCACCCAGGTGCCCCCAAGATATTTTTTAAAATTTTTATTTATTTTTATTATTAACATATAATGTATTATTTGTTTCAGGGGTACAGGTCTGTGATTCATCAGTCTTACACAATACACAGTGCTCACCACGACACATACCCTCCCCAATGTCTTATCACCCAACCACCCCACCCCTCCCACCCCCTCCACTCCAGCAACCCTCAGTTTGTTTCCTGAGATTAAGAGTCTCTTATGGTTTGTCTCCCTCTCTGGTTTCTTCTTGTTTCATTTTTTCCTCTCTTCCCCTATGATCCTCTGCCTTGTTTCTCAAATTCCACATATCAATGAGATCATATGATAATTATTGCCTTTCTCTGACTAACTTATTTCACTTAGCATAATACTCTCTAGTTGTATCCATGTCATTGCCAATGGCAAGATTTCATTTTTTGATGGCTGCATAATGTTCCATTGTATATATATACCACATCTTCTTTATCCATTCATCTGTTAATGGACATCTTTCTATGGTGCCAATTTATGATAACATGTCTGCCTTTATGGAGACAGAAAAGTCTGTTCCACTTACTGCTAGGTATGATTAAGTCAACAGCTATTACTTGAAACTATCTTCAGTATTATAACCCTATTTTATATATGCATAAGCATAAAGTATCTTTTGTTCTAAGGCACAAAATTTTTAAATCAGCATATGTATGTAGCACTCACATAAATGTTCATTTGATTGAACATCTTCTTTTTCCATTCATCTGTTGTTGGACATCTGGGCTCTTTCCATAGTTTGGCTATTGTGGACATTGCTGCTATAAACATCGGGGTGCATGTACCCCTTCGGATCCCTACATTTGTATCTTTGGGGTAAATACCCAGTAGTGCAATTGCTGGATCGTATGTATGGTAGCTCTATTTTCAACTTTCTGAGGAACCTCCATACTGTTTTCAAGAATGGCTGCACCAGCTTGCATTCCCACTAACAGTGTAGGAGGGTTCCCCTTTTACTGCATCCTCGCCAACATCTGTTGTTTCCTGACTTGTTAATTTTAGCCATTCTGACTGGTGTGAGGTGGTATCTCATTGTGGTTTTGATTTGTATTTCCCTGATGCCGAATGATGTGGAGCACTTTTTCATGTTTCTGTTGGCCATTTGGATGTCTTCTTTGGAAAAATGTCTGTTCATATCTTCTGCCTATTTCTTGATTGGATCATTTGTTCTTTGGGCGTTGAGTTTGATAAGTTCTTTATAGATTTTGGATACTAGCCCTTTATCTGATATGTCATTTGCAAATATCTTCTCCCATTCTGTCGGTTGCCTTTTGGTTTGGTTGACTGTTTCCTTTGCCTCTTGTTGGGCCCCTGCTTGAAGAGAACTGGCCCAACTATGCCGCGGATAATGGTTTATGGCAACCCCGAGCTGAGAGCCTGCTCCTCGGCTCCGTCTCTGCAGCCGGCTTTCCCGCTCTGATACCTGGGAGCTATGTTACACTCAGGCACCCCCAGTCTTTCTGTGACCCCAAGGGTCCTGAGACCACACTGTCCCATGAGGGTTCCACCCCCCGCTTAGCCACTGGAGTGACGTCCCTCAGCAGAGCAGACTTCTAAAAGTTCCGATTTTGTGCTCTGCTGTTCTATCACTTGCTGGTAGCGGCCGACGGAGGCCCCCTCCCCCGCCGTCTACCCTCCTGAATATCGCCTCGGATTCACTTCTCCACACGTCCTACCTTCCAGAAAGTGGTCACTTTTCTGTTCCAAGAGTTGCTGCTATTCTTTTCTTCGATCTCCTGTTGAGTTCGTAGGTGTTCAGAATGGTTTGATCCCTATCCAGCTGAATTCCTGGGACCAGACAAAGTTTAGGTCTCCTACTTCTCTGCCATCTCGGACCATATCTGCCCCCAAAATATTTTTATTTAAGCATGTAATCAGTATAAAAATGACTAATGAGGTATTTTACATTCTTTTAAAGTTTAGATCTTCATTTTTGTTTTTTTTAATTGAGATATAATTGACATATACCATTATGTTAGTTTCAGGTGTGCAACATAATGATTTAATATTTGTATATATTGTGAAATGATCACCACAAAAAGTCTAGTTAACATCTGTCATACACAAAGTCACATTCTTTTTTCTTTTTTTAGATTTTATTTATTTATTTGACAGAGAGAAACACAGTGAGAGAGAGAACACAAGCAGGGGCAGTGGGAGAGGGAGAAGCAGGCTTCCCGCCGAGCAGGGAGCCCGATGCGGGACTCGATCCCAGGACCCCGGGATCATGACCTGAGCCGAAGGCAGACGCTTAACGACTGAGCCACCCAGGCGCCCCTCACATTCTTTTTTCTTGTGATGAGAACTTTCAAGATCTGCTGTTTTAACAACTTTCAAATATACAATGTAGTGTTGTTATCTATAGCCACCATGCTGTACATTATATTCCCAGGACTTACTTATTTTATAATTGGAAATGTGTACCAAAATGGACTTGTTTTAAGTGTACTCTTACTGGTGTTTGCAATCTCATTTATCTGGACTATCAACTTACTGTTGCTTTTCCCTCTACAGAAAGGCCAAAACTCTCCAGATGTCTTCCAATAATGATCAAGTTTTTATCCCAATGTCACGAAGAAACACCAATGACCTCTCCAGGATGACCTCCAACAACCTGAAGACATTTACTGAAGTAGCCGTGTTAAGTTTTCATAACATTTGCTATCGAGTAAAAGTGAAGAGTGGCTTTCTTCTTGGCCGAAAAACAGTTGAGAAAGAAATCCTGACAGATATCAAGTATGTGCATGAATTTGTATTAAAATAGTTTATTGACATACAGTGAGCTTTACAGGTTTTTGCTTATTGCAAATAAAGGTGTTACAAACATTTGTGTGCAAGTCTAATCAAACATACAGACACATGCTTTTATTTCGTGTGCCTAACTTGGAGTGAAATGGCTGGGTCACATATTAGGTATATGGTTCGCTTTAAAGGAACTGCCAAACTGTTTTTATTTATTTTATTAAAAAAATTTTTTTTTAAAGATTTTTTTTACTTATTTGAGAGAGAGAGAGATCACAAGCAGGGGGAATGGCAGGCAGAGGGAGAGGGAGAAGCAGACTCCCTCTGAGCAGGGAGCCCAATGCGGGGCTCGATCCCAGGACCCCGGGATCATGACCTGAGCCAAAGGCAGACGTGTAACAGACTGAGCCACCCAGGCGCCCCTGCCAAACTGTTTTTAAAGTGGTTGTTCCATGTGCATCAACTTTAGTTTGAGAAACTGAACAATTAATGTGTCATTTAATTTTTTTCTGGGTATGCCCTGGCGTTCACTAGCAAGCGACTGGCTGTATGATTTGCTAGTTCTTGGTCATGGGGATATAATTGTCATCCCTGGAGCTTTAGTTTTCTGATCTTTGAAACAGAGATGTGCGGCTGTAACTTATGAGCCGGACACTTTCAGGTACTTACGCACTTTATGTCCTTTATGTTCAAGATGCTAGCGTCCGGGAGTTGCAATGACAGTATGCTGAAAAGTACTTTGGTTTTCAAATACACTTGTTTTAAATGAGTGGTCTGTTTATATAGTAGTTTGTACCATGTACTTAATGCTTCTCTCCATTACACAGGCAGACAGAGACTATTGAAAGAGAAGACAGCTATAGCTTAGCTTATGCTATGCAGTTGAAGTCCAAAGTGATAAGAGAAATTAGGAACGGAATCAGGCCTAGATTAGAACTGACTGACCTTTCTGAAAAGCTGACAAGTGTTTTGTGGAACATAATGATCAAGAAAATGGTGGTTACTTCAGATTTTGTGCTGATGAATGGAAGGTAAATGATTGGAATATGCACAGGTGGAATAGATTTAAAATGCATACTGTGTGAGTGTACATTTATCTTGCTTATGTTTTCAAGCTACTAGATTAATACCTTGATACAGCAAAAGTGTCATCTGTTCAAGGTTTCATAAGGTTTTATGGTCCAGTGGTATGCATTTCAGCAGTGGATGAGTTCATCCTAGGTTAAACACACATAACTAGGTTCGTAAAAAGGCAGTCAAATCTTGCAATTCTTTCCAGTTTTATAGTTAAAAGGACAGGAGGGCTTGGTTTCCTTGCTATCTCACATTTCTGATTTAGGCATCCCTGAGAGAGGTCATCCCTATTTTTGCTGCAGTATTTCTAATCTTTCCCCTATCTGCTGACTTCATCTAAGTAGAGTTTCTGGGCTGGGGAAAGATTGCTCTCATATGTGTTATTTTTGTTTGTATTTTATAGCACCACCACCATTCACAATAGTTACTGTATTTCAAAAAAGCTGGTGAGAGTCTTGGTTTTCGTTTTTTCTTTGGACATTTTGTAATTTCATTTATAGAACTGAGTAACTAGAACCTGATTTCCTCTTGTGGTTGGGGGAGGGGCGTGAAGAAGCTAAAATAAAATCTGACTATGAGAATTCAAAAAGGTGAGATTTTACTTCCTCATGAAAAATCATCTGTTACACTTAGTTTGTCTCCATGCCCAGCATTTGAGCTTTCCCTCACCAGTGCTGAAGACCTATGGAAAAAATGGTCCATTCCAGTAACTGTGTGGATATCCACTAGTCTTCATGGAAATTCATTATACTATTTGGGAATTTTTTAAATTTATTATTTATTTTGACATAATTTTAAACTTAAACCTTGCACTTTTCACCTGGATGCCCCACCTGTTAACATTTCAGTGCATTTGCTTGTCACTTTTAATTTTTATATACCCATTATCATTAGTATTTTTTTAAAAGCAAGCTGTCCATATGATGTCCATAACTCCTTTGATGTATGTTTTCCAGAAATAAGGATCCTCTTTTCAGGTCATTGTTTTGGAGTAGCCCCGGGGGAGTGCAGCCTCATAGTGAATACAGTGGTGGGTCCTAAGAGACCATCGGTCAACCATGCTCTTAACATAGTTGACTGACCACCACATCATGTCTCCTTTGTCTCATGCAACCTGGTATTTTTCTGTCTCACCCCTTAACCTTGATTACTTGGTCATGTTGGTGTCTACCAACCTTCTCCACCATAATGTTACCATTTTCCACTTTGTAATTGATAAATGCTATGAGGGGAGATAAGACATTATTCCAAAACCTTATTCCTCATTAATCTTCACCCCACCAGCTTCAGCTCCCATTGATTCTTCCTACCCAAATTAGCAGTAATGATCACTATGATAGTTATCAAAGGGTGATTTTCTGTTTTAATTCATCTCTTAGGCATGGATTAATTTGCAGTCTACTAAAAGAAAAAAGTTTTATTCATCATCTCTTCATTCAGTATAGACTCATGGATTTCATATTCAATAGTAATGCATTATTATCATGATTTTTTTAAAAGATTTTTAAAATTTATTTGACAGAGAGAGACATAGCAAGAGCAGGAACACAAGCAGGGGGAGTGGGAGAGGCAGAAGCAGGCTTCCCGCCGAGCAGGGAGCCTGACGCGGGGCTCGATCCCAGGACCCTGGGATCACGACCTGAGCTGAAGGCAGCCTAACGACTGAACCACTCAGGCGCCCCTATTATCATTCTTCTTCTTTTTTTTTTTTAAAGATTTTATTTATTTATTTGACAGAGAGAGACACAGCGAGAGAGGGAACACAAGCAGGGGAAGTGAGAGAGGGAGAAGCAGGCTTCCCGCGGAGCAGGGAGCCCGATGTGGGGCTCGATCCCAGGACCCTGGGATCACGACCTGAGCCGAAGGCAGACGCTTAATGACTGAGCCACCCAGGCGCCCCTATCATTATTCTTGATACTCCCATTGTTTCTGATTCGGTTAGTGGGAGACCTTTGCTTTTTTTAACTCATTCTTTTGACCTGTCCTCTCATTTGAGTATTTTTTGACACAGCAAGAAGTTTCAGACTCCCTGAATACTTTTCCTGCTTCAGACCTGGAATCAGCTGTTGTTCCTTTTTGTGGAGCATGGTATTTACAAACCAAGATCTGGGTGTTTGGGATATTTGTTGCTGTTGGAATGTCCTCTGTCCTATGCCTTCTCAGTGCGTAGACCTAGGGAACACATATCTGTATATATGTATACACACGTGCCTAAAACTTTCTATATCTATCTGTGTATGTAGATTAAAACCTAGGACTTCTCATTAATACCTCCAATTGTATCTAATACCCTAGCATTCTTTCCACATTTCTATGTTTGTAAAACATCTCAAAAAATGAAAACCCTGGCTCTCATTATCCTTGATATACTTACTGATTTGCTCACTTTTCTCATTCTTGGATACAAGTAAATAGCCCACCCTTCAGCTGTCACCTCTCTTTCTCCCACATCCCTTCACAGCCTGTGTTCTGTTACAGCTATCAAGTTTTTCCTTCTTCTTGACATTTTTTTTTTCAAACTTGTCTTTTTGTTTTCCTGTAATTGTTATTTATAAAAATGCAGTGACTCACTTACTCAACAAATTTTAGACATCTGCTAGGTGCTTGACATCGTGCAAGATGCTAGTGACAGAGGTATGTCCTCTGTTCTCAGAAACCTTCTAGTCTAATGGTGGATTCAGACAAGTAAGGCACATCACTGTGTTATTCTACTGTGATGGAGGGATGGGAAGACCCTGTGGAAGCCCCTAAACTTAAATTGGAGGGCCGGGGGCATGAGAGAGAAAGTGAAAGTGTGTTATAGTGTGTGTGTGTGTGTGTGTGTGTGTGTGTGTGTGTGTGTGGAGCAGGGTAGGGAGGGATGGTGCTCCAAGCAGTGGGAACGGCATGGATGTCCCCATAAAATGAGACCGGAGGATTCACCATTATGTACTAAAATGCAATCAATGTGCCGTGAGTCCTTCAGCTAGGTTTCACTTGATGTGTTCGGCATTTAGTGATCTACCCGTTGTATACCACTGGCTGCATGCTATGGTGGGGTGGGTAGTAATGCGAGATGACACCATTTATTATTATTATTTTTTAAGACTTTATGTATTTATTTGAGAGAGAGAGCACAAGCAGGGGGAAGAGGCAGAGGCAGAGGGAGAAGCAGGCTCCCTCCTGAGCAGGGAGCCCGATGCGGGGCTTGATCCCAGGACCTGGAGACCATGACCTGAGCCGAAGGCAGACGCTTAACCGACTGAGCCACCCAGGCATCCCAATCTGACTAGTTTTTTTTTTTTTTTTTTTTAAAGATTTTATTTATTTATTTGACAGAGAGAGACACAGCGAGAGAGGGAACACAAGCAGGGGGAGTGGGAGAGGGAGAAGCAGGCTTCCCGCCGAGCAGGGAGCCTGATGTGGGACTCGATCCTGGGACTCCAGGATCATGACCTGAGCCGAAGGTAGTCGCTTAACCGACTGAGCCACCCAGGCGCCCCCCAATCTGACTAGTTTTAAGTGGTGAGAACACTACTGGTAATTCTAGAAATCCATTGATTTATTAATTGTGTAGAACCTGACTAGGTAGCAACTGAGGTGATTTGAAGTAAATCAATTAATGTCATCAAACATTAGTTAAGACTTGTTACATTCTTCACACTGGGTTAAGAGGGTGAGTGTAACAGAGATGTTTAACCAGAATCTGTTACTTTAAGGAAACTTGAAATTTCAAAAAATATAAATGGTTTAGAGAAGAAGTAAAAGGAGTTTAGAGGGACCCAAGCCATTTTTCTTACACGTCTTGACTAGTGATTAAGATCCTTTGTTTGCTGGACTTATGTTAATGGACATTTCGGTGTCTTTTTCATTTAAGCATTGGTTTGTGCTTGTTTTCTGTTTATAGTTTGATCACTTTCATTGAGTGTATTAGATGCAGACCCTAAATTTATAGAACCGGTTTTGAAGCGGGCTGATAAATTGTTATGTTCTGTGTTTACAGTGGCATCATGAGACCTGGCCTCAATGCCATTCTGGGACCCACAGGTGGTGGCAAATCTTCGTGAGTATAATAGCATAAGTTAGCTTTTTCTTTGCAGTTTTATTGTGCTTTTCAAGATGACTATTATGTGAGCAGGTGTGTGTCGAGCATTTGCTGCATGTCTAGTGTGGTTCTAGGCGCTGTGGATAACATGCATGATGCTAGCTTGTGGTTGTCCCAAGGACCGGGAACTCTTACTTGGTCAGCTTACTACAGGACACGCTAACAGGACATGATTGGCCATACAGCTGTCGGCTATGATTTGAGCTAATGGGGAGGGAAAGGAGAGAGAAAAAAATTGAAAGTGGGGAGATGGAGCCAAAGGCCTAAGTGAAGACTTGTGTCTTAGACAAAGGAACACGTTGTCTGACTTGAGACCCCCAAGGTCACACGACCTGGAAGCCTGTTTGGGAAGTCTGTGCTGGATCAGCCAGTGGTGACTTGTGCCATGTTTTTGAGTTTTATTGTAGTATATACTAAAAAAGGGAAGGTGAGAATTCGAAAATGTACGTAATTTTATGATGAATCACTAAATTCTACGCCTGAAACCAATTTTATCATATATGTTAACTAACTAGAATTTAAATAAAAATTGAACTCGAGGAAGTACCTGAAAAAAAAAATACATAATTTTAGGTGATCCATGGAATTTCTTGATCGGTTAATATTCTAACTTAAGCAGAATTTGGATTTAGAGTAGCTGAGAGATATAGCCTGAATTGGAGAAAAACAACAATGTATATGTCCTCTCATAGGTTGTTAGATATCTTAGCTGCAAGGAAGGATCCGAATGGATTATCTGGAGATGTTTTGATAAATGGAGCACCTCGACCTGCCAATTTCAAGTGTAATTCAGGTTATGTGGTACAAGTAAGTATTTGTGGATTTGTATTTTAGCTTTCTTCTATTTCTATATGAGCAAGTGCCTTGGCTGATAGTTGAATGTACTTCCAACTGACCAAATGACATATTCGTGGAACCAATTTTCTGCACACCAGCCTCTCATAATCTCCTGTTAAGATTCAGAGTGGTGTTGATGCAATGTATGGGGATAATATAAGAATAAAAAAATTAAAAAAAAAAAAGTCTCAGAGTGGTGTTAAATGAAGAGGCAGGAAGAATCTGGAATATAACCGCTATAAGGACAATGGTATCCATTCTAGTTATCATTTCCACAAGACACTATTTTCCTTTTTTGCCCTTCCCCTAGCTTAGAAAGCTCTTTTGCTAAATCCTGTATAAAGCGGTCTGGACATGTCAGCTAGTAGTAATCACAATTACTTGTGTCGGTTTGAGTGTACAGATAGGGGAATGAAAATTACGCCCTCCGGCTTTTTCAGCTGTGTTTGGAGTTGCTGTCATTTGTCTAACTGCAAGTTCATCATTAGCTAGGACTTTATGTTGGATATGTTATTCTTGCGGATTAAGTTACACGTACTTAAGGGTGATGGTATTAAAAAAGACCTAATATGTCTTGTTAAAAATGCCATTTTGCTTTAAGGATGATGTCGTGATGGGAACTCTGACAGTGAGAGAAAATTTACAGTTCTCAGCAGCTCTCCGGCTTCCGACCACCATGACGAGTCATGAAAAAAATGAACGAATTGACAAGGTCATTCAGCAGTTAGGTCTGGATAAAGTGGCCGATTCCAAGGTAATGTGGAAAAACCAGACAGGATCATAGCCAGCAAATAAGATCTCACCTGTGTGGATAGTGTAACTCTTCCTCAGAAGTTTTCTGTAATATGTGTGGTCAAAAGTGGCTGCTCTCTGTAATGATGAGAAACAGGACTTGTTACAAAATATGAAGATGGAAATTAATGAGGTAAAAAAAAAAACTAAAAATATTTGAATCCTGGAAATGAAGTGTGTGGCAGGCTGGTCTAGTATATAGAAGAAGAACATGAGGCCCTTTCCATGTGACTATAGCTCTTGATGTTCTTCCACACTGTTTGTCATGTCTCAGCCACTATCTTTCCACTAACTTTCCTTCTTCCTGTTTTCTTTCCCCTTTTAGCTCTCCTTCCTCTTCCTCCAGGAGACTTTGTTCCATTGCTTTTGAGGTATATTTCTAGAATTTTTAAATGACAAAAATCGAAGGGTTCTGGCTCTGTGTTTCACTTTGCTATAATTTGGCTTTCAAAGTAATATTTAGTCAAAGTAGGGTTTCTTTCTTTCTTTTTTTCTTTTTTAAGATTTTATTTATTTGAGAGAGACAGACAGAGATAGTAAGAGAGAGCGCAAGCAGGGAGGAGAGGGAGAAGCAGGCTCCTGGGCAGGGAGCCTGCCGTGGGACTCCATCCCAGGACCTTGGGATCATGACCTGAGCCGAAGGCAGATGTTTAACCAATTGAGCCACCAGGTGCCCTATTTCTAATTTGTGTAGCATCTGAGTTGTTTTTCTGTAGCCTTTCTTTTGGCACTTTGTTCTCTTATTCCTCCCTCCCTCCCTCCCTTCCTGTCTTCTTTTCTTCTGCCAGTACTTATTTACAGACTGGTGTGCTTATCGCTGGGCTCTTAGGTTTTAGAGGTAACAGCTGTGGGCAAGAGAGACAAAAATAACTCCTTTTGTGGTTGTGCAGAGTCAGGAGGAAGAGATGAGATGAACAAGGAAATTTTATAGTTGATGACTAAGGATGAGAGATTTGCTGGGAAGATATTTGAAGCTTTGGGTGAAGATGAGCTTTTTTTAGATTATGGTGGCTATAGTTCAGCTTTTTTTTTAGATTTTATTTTTCAGTAATCTCTACACCCAAGCTGGGGCTTGAACTTACAACCCTGAGATCAAGAGTCGCATCCTCTACCGACTGAGCCTGTGATGGCAGGAGTTTAATTCCCCTGGATACATATATCCCTTACTTAGAGATAACAAAGGATCAGGGTATTCTGCTGGCTGTTGCTTCATGTCATACTGTCTGACATTCTAGAAAAATGTAGAATGTATTTTGCTTGTATTTCATTTGAAAGCATGACTCTGAGATGCCACCATTTACCACTTATTTTTGTTTTAGGAGTTCATGAGTTTGGGTTTCCTTTGCCTTGGCTCTGTTTATTCGATTTGGTCTTTTTAGTAAGGTTCTTTCCAATCTTTGTCTTTAGGTACAAGTTCTTTACCAACAGGCAGTCATTGCCCTAACTTCCTTGCATGTAATTCCAGGGAAGATGAGCTGAAGGTAGTTGTTGACTTCTTGGAATTTATTTATCTAATTAATTGAAAATACATTTAAAAATTTTTACTTTTTATGAAATTTTAAGTATAACAGAAATGTAGAGAGAATAGTCTCATTACTACCGTAATCACATGGTTGTGGTGTAATTAATATAATGGTTTGATTACTAATAATATTCGCCTAGATTTCCCAGTTGTTAACATCTTATCCCATACTTGCTTCAGCTTTTTTTTTCTGAAGTATTTTAAAGAAAGTTGTAAATATCATATTTTACTCCTGAATACTGATTATGCGTCTTAAGAAAAAAGACATTTGCTTACATGACCACGGTACCGTTATTAACCAACAAAACCAACGGTATCTTACTATCAGCTATGTTAAGCCATATTCATTCACATTTTCCCAGTTGTCTCCAAAATGTCTGCTGTAGCTCAATTGTTACAGGACCCAGTCAAGGGCATGAGTAGCACTTGATTATTATCTCTTTGAAGACTCTTAATATAGGAATTATTTCCTACCTCCTGCCTCGCCCAAAACCTTCTTGTTTCGCCCACTCCCCTGCCCTCCACACACAATGACATTGACTCGTTGAAAAGACTGGGCCAGTTGCCCTGTAAAATATTCTGCCTTCTGGATTTGTCTGAATGAGTCAGGAATTCTGTAGTGAGTTGGGATGTAGGCAGGGTCAATTTGGGGAACCTTATGGTGATTGAAGAGGTACTAATGTGGTGTTGATAGAAAGTAAACTTTCCCATTTGCCAAGCCCACTGAGGACTTTTGGAGGAGTGGGGAGAGAGGGTCTAAGAAGACTAATAAATTATAGATGCTTTCCCCTTTTCCTCTCCCACGTTAATCTCTCTTTTGCTTTGTGATTTCACAATACCAGGGCCATATATTTTAGGGTTCTAACTTAACTAAAACTAAAACTAAATATTTGACTTGGTGGGGAACATGAAGTCCCGTTAAGCATGGCATTCATATTAGGCTTAGCCACTTACCTGACTTGAGCTTCAGTTTGCTCATCTTACTAAAGAGAAAACTACCTCTTCTCCCATATTTTCATTTATTTGCTATTTGGAATAAATGAGGATAATGAGATAAAGTTTCCTGTAAGGGGTTGGCACAGGGTAGGACCTCAACAAATGGTAGTAGCTGTGGTTGTAATTGTTAATAATGATATTTGTGTTTTAGGTTGGAACTCAATTTATACGTGGTGTGTCTGGAGGAGAAAGAAAAAGGACTAGTATTGGAATGGAGCTTATTACCGATCCAGCCATCTTGTTCCTGGATGAGCCCACAACTGGCTTAGACTCAAGCACGGCAAACGCTGTTCTTTTGCTCCTGAAGAGGTAAATGCGATGGGAACATTACTCTTTCATTCATCTGGTATCTGATCACCTGCTGTATACCAGGATTATTCTCAGTGCAGGGAGTTCAAGAGTAAGCACAACAAACAAAAATTTCTTCCTTCTTTGTTGGAGGGAAATAGTCAACTGACAGATATAAGTGTTTCAAGAAAAGTGAGGCAGGGTAAAGATGTAGCAAAAGATGGCTGTGGTGGAGGTAAGGGTGCTCTATTATATAGCAGGATGGTCAGGGAAGACCTCAATGATGTGACATGTGAGCTGGGAGCAAGTGAGTGAGACCTGGATCTCTGGGGGAAGAGAGTCCTAGCTGGAGGGAAGAGCCAGTGGGTCCTAAGGCAGAGCATGCCTGATGTGTTTGGAAACATCAAAAAGGCCAGAAGGACTGGACCCCAGTGAACTAAGGGGAATGGAGATTGCTTACTGATTAGTTTGCTGGGGCTGCCATAACGTAGTACCACAGACTGGGTGACTTTAACAATAGAAGTTCAGTTTTTCACATTCTTGCGGACTAGAAGTCTAAGATAAGAGCATCAACAGGATGATTTCTTCTGAGGTCTCTCTCCTTGGCCTGCAGGTAGCTGTCTTCAGTATGTGTCTTTATTTCATTTTCCCTCAGTGCATCTGGATCCTCATCTCCTCTTCTTATAAGGACACTGGTCCTTATTAGATTAAGGCCCACTCATATGACCTTATTTAACCATAATTACCTCTTTAAAGACCCTATCCCCAAATACAGGTATATTCTGAGGTACTAGGGGTTAGGACTTCAACATGAATTTGGGGAGGACACAGTTCAGTCCATAACAATTAGAATAGGACATGAGATTGAATTGAGTGGGTAGCAGATTACACAGGCTTTGTAGGCCACTGTAAGAACTATGGCTTTTATTGTCTCTAGGTGACATGGGAACTTTTAGAGAGTTCTAGAACAGAGGACTGTCAGCTGTGTAGAGAAAAAACTATAACTGGGCAAGGTGAGTACAAGGAAACCAGTCAGAAGGCTATTTGTATTAGTTCAGTTGAGATATGATGCTGGCTTTGAGTAGGATGGTAGTGGTGAGGTGGTGAGAAGTTGTGGATTCTGGATCTATTTTGAACATAGAACCAACAGAATTAGATTAGTTCATGAACTGGACATGGTGTGTGGTTATTGAGAGAACAACTTTCTAAAATTTAGGGCCTGAGAAATGGAAGAATGGAGAAAAGAGTTGCATTTACTTTTTTTTTTTTTTTAAAGATTTTATTTATTTGAGAGAGAGAATGAGAGAGAGCAAGCACATGAGAGGGGGGAGGGTCAGAGGGAGAAGCAGACTCCCCGCCGAGCAGGGAGCCCGATGCGGGACTCAATCCAGGACTCCAGGATCATGACCTGAGCCGAAGGCAGTCGCTTAACCAACTGAGCCACCCAGGCGCCCGAGTTGCATTTACTTTTATTCCTCCAGTGGGAGGAATATGTTTATAGGAGAAATTTCAGAAGGTAGATTTTGGACATCTAAAGAAAATTAAAAAAAAATTTAACCTTACAGAAGAGTTATAAGACTAGTACAAAGAAATCTTATGTCCTCTTACCTAGATTCCCCAACTGTTACCATTTATCTGCATTTGCTGTTTCTCCAACCCTCCACCCCACATAGTCTTTTCCTGACATCATGTACCTTCACCCCTAAATACTCTGGAGTGTAACTACAAGAAACAAGGATGCTCCTCCTACATTACCACCTTCTACACCACCCAGTCGGGAAATCTACATTGCTGCCATCACCACTGTCCATCCCAGAGACTCCAGTTGGACTTCACCAGTTGTACCCGAAGTGTCTCTTTCTCCTTTCTCACTCAGGATGTTCTCCAGAAACACTTGTTTAAACCTTTTCTAATCCTGAACAGTTTTTCAGTCTTTCCTGGGTTGCACATCCTTGTCTGTCTTCAAGGGTACCTTTCGTAGAGTGGCCCTCAACTTGGATGTATCCAGTGTTTCCTTATGACCAGACTCAGGCCATGAAATCTTGGCGGGGGAACCACAGAAGTAATGCTATGTTCTTCTGCATAAATCAGGAGCTGCCTGATTTTGACTTCTCCCACCATGGGTGATGTTCATGACCATCACCTGCTCATGTTGGTGTCTGCTGGGTTTACCTGCTGTGAAGTAACTCTTAGTCCCTTTGTAATTGGTTAGTATTTGAGATAATTGGATATAATGTCCATACCGTGTTCCTCATCAAATTTCCACCCACCAGTTTTAGCATATACTAGCAATTTCTGCCTCCATCAATTACTGGTGCAATGGTTGCCAAGTGATTTTCTATTTACAACATTCTTTCTACATATATTAGTTGGCATTATACTGTAAAAAACTTTTCCTCCTCCTGTATTCTTTTATGTTTTCTCATATTCTTATTTTAGTCAATGGATCAATGGATTATATAAGGTTATTCTTATTTATTTTTATGATTAACCCTGATTTGGCCATCGGAAGCCCCTTCAGTCTGACTTTTGTGTCCTTTTGACATGTGCCCTAAACATACTTCAAGCAGTTCTTTACTTCATGGTCAACAAGATGTTCCAGGCTCATCTTGTCCTTTTCCCGTGTCAGGTATTTCTCTAGGGAGTCCCGGTACCTTCTGGTGTAGTCAGAATTTAGAAACCGAGATCTGATTAGTATACTCGCTGCTACTGCAGTTTCGTTGCTTCCAGACCAACTTAGCAGACATACTAGGAAATACTTGTGTACATGTGTGTGCATATGTAACACAAATATATTTCTATATTTTTTTATTAAAGATTTTATTTATTTATTTGAGAGAGAGAGAATGAGAGACAGAGAGCATGAGAGGGAGGAGGGTCAGAGGGAGAAGCAGACTCCCCGCCGAGCAGGGAGCCCGATGTGGGACTCGATCCCGGGACTCCAGGATCATGACCTGAGCCAAAGGCAGTCGCCTAACCAACTGAGCCACCCAGGTGCCCCTATTAAAGATTTTAAGTAATCTCTACACCCACCGTGGGGCTCGAACTCACAACCCTGAGATCAAGAGTCGCATGCTCCACAGACTGAGCCAGGCAGGTGCCCCTATTTCTCTATATTTTTATATGGAAGATAGCTGGAATATTAGTTTATTATATATATATGTATATATATATAGTTTGAATAGAACGATACATGAAAACATACATCTGTAACTATCGCTCTGTTAGCATGTGTATATTAAAAAACCCACGAGTGCATATTTCCAGTCCAGTCTAACGCTTGAATGTTTTTTAGTCTTTGCCCTTTCCATGTTTGTAAATGATTTTTTAGATAGGCAAAAACTTAGCAATACATTTACTTACTTGCTAAGCCAAGTAACTTAATTGTTAAATATAACTAATCTCCTAGTCACTCTGGCCATTCTCTCTGCCCACCACTTCTGGGACTGCTCCCTACAACCCCAATTTTTTTCTTTTTTAAGATTTTATTTGACAGAGAGAGAGAGACACAGCGAGAGAGGGAACACAAGCAGGGGGAGTGGGAGAGGGAGAAGCAGGCTTCCCGCGGAGCAGGGAGCCCGATGCGGGGCTCGATCCCAGGACCCCGGGATCATGACCTGAGCCGAAGACAAATGCTTAACCCTCTGAGCCACCCAGGCGCCCCACCACCCCAATTTTCTTACGAGCTACCACACACATCATCTGCATATGACATCCCCTTCTTGTCATTACCTTGCTTCTTCAGATGCTCATGCCCTCATAAGCAAGTCTCTGTGCTAGGATAAGAAGAAATGGGAAGATTTTAGACATCTTAAGTTTGAGATGGCAGTTGCACATTTAAATGAAGATGCCAAGTAATGGGTCTAGGGTTCAGGTTCTGTTAGGGAATGCATGATACTTTGGTGATCTGTAAGTGTGTTAACAGTGTTCATTAGAGAATGGTGGATTGATGTGGAATACTGGACTATGTCGTGTTTTATCCTGTTTTGCACTAGTTGGCACACAAGCATCTTTCCTTGCACCGGAGGGCTCTAACCTAGAATTTCTCACACTCCACTGTGCACACTAATCACCGGGGTCTTGTTAACATCGGATTCTGTTTCCACGGCTCTGAGATGGAGTCCGCGTCTACGTGTCTCCTGGGAGATACTGATCCTGTTGCCGTTGGTCCTCAGACCACAAGGCTGTTGCAACGAAGCACTTCCCTACTTTCAGTCCTTCACTGGCTCTTTCTTGCCCTGTGATGAAAGCTGCAGCTTCTGAGTGAAAGGACTCAGCATGGGCTTGATTTTTGGGGCGATCTTTTTCCTAGCTTCTTCCCCTCCTCCCCGCCCCAATCCCCGCACAAACATCCAGGCTCTGCAATGACACGGAAGTACTTGTAGTCTCCTTAGGTAGATCTGTTATCGCACACTTTGTTGTGGCCGTGACTTCCTTCCCCGTGACTACATTTTCTCTTCTTGGCTTACTCTGGTTGGCCCCTTTGATACACTACTTACGTTATCTTCAGACCGGCTTATGGTCTTCCATTTTGCTTATAAGGAACCCTCAGCTTCTTTTATTCCACTCTGTACTGAAATGGTTGGATCTGCTGGCCTGATCCCCTTTGAAGCAGAGCAAGCTTGTACCCACTGCTAACATGTAGTAAGTGCTTAGAAAATGCTTAAATTGACATGATACTTCTCACAAAATATTTTCAATAATGACAGGCTTTCAGCAGTGATTTTGGCCTTTGTTTCTTCTATCCATGAGTAGTACTTACTGTGTAAAAGTAGTTTAGCAATGTTTTGGCCTTGGAATCAGACCAGGAATCAAATCAGCCCCGCCCCTTACTAACTGTGACACTTAGGGCCGGTCGCTCAGCCGTCTAAGTCTTATCCGTAGCATAAAGGTAATAATATTGGCACTGCCTTATAACAATATTGTGAGAATTGAGAAAAGTATGGAAGTATATAGCAAAGGCATAGTAAGTACTCAGTAATGTTAATTGTATCGTTAGGGCAAAAGAATGAAAACCAATTCCTGAAGAGCCAGGGGATTTAAATGATCAGTGAGAATGGGGCATCCAACCATCATTTTAATATTTAGTCCATGATATGTTTCCAAGCTTGAGTGTACTTACAGATTACTTGGGTGCTTGTTAGAAATATGGATTCACTTGCCCACTAGGTCTGAGAAGACTGTCCAGGGATCTGCATTTTTCATTAATATCTGGTTGATGGTGATTGCCCATGGACCGCACTTTAGAAACCCTAGTGTTTTATAAAAGCGCTGAATTTAGGTCTCCTAACTATCAGATAATATGAAATGAGAAGCTAGTAAGAGAAAATCAAGTCGAACTAAGAACAGATGATCTGAAGGCAGGAATCAAGTTGCCATCATGTTCACGTTTCAGATGTTTAATGACTTTTATTTTTTCGCTTTTAACTTAGGATGTCTGAACAGGGACGAACAATCATCTTCTCCATTCATCAGCCTCGTTATTCTATCTTCAAGTTGTTTGATAGCCTCACCTTGTTGGCCTCAGGAAGACTAATGTTCCACGGGCCTGCCCAGGAGGCCTTGGGGTACTTTGCATCAGTGGGTATGCTTGACTTTTTCACACAGTAAGATCCTTTATTAATAGAATCCTGGAAGAGAGCAAAGGAGGTCTCTAGGAGTGCTGTTTGGTCTTTGAGTAGACATACTATGGCTTCTGCCACTCCAAAACATCTTTGGTTAGTTTGGTGCTAGAGTTTTTCTTCACTTTATAGTGCTAGCTTGTTCTTTAGATCTCTTTCCTGTCCTATTTGACTATGCCTGCCTATGTATGTATGAATATTTCTACTGGGCCTGTATCTGATCCTCTTCCCAGTTCTGGCAACCTTTCCCTAACAGTTCAGTAAATATGTTGGCCTCATAACCAGTTATCTGTTGGGCGAACATTTTTGAAAAGGCCTAATAATATCCCCAAATAGTTTGGCTTCTTGTCCAGATTATGGATCAGGCTTTCTCATTTTATTCCCTTGTATGGGATGTTGGTCTGCTTTGGTGGGGGTTCATGAAGATGCTGCTTAAAATTTTCTAGTAACATTAAATTACAGATTTAGGCCTTGAGGGGGTATGAGTGACTTACCAGTCAATAGGATGACTCATTGTAAGTCTTACTTTGAGGGGCTAACACTTCTGACAGTTTTGGGCTGCCTGGTTCTATTTAGAATGGACATATATAATTTTTTTTTTTTTATGACTCATGCAGTCTGTTTCATTTTAGAGATATTTGGATAGGATTATAGATGGCGCTCCATGACTCCAAATATAGTTTTAAATGTTCACTAGCCATCTTTTAAAATTTTTGTTTAATCTCTCTCATTTAAAGTTAACAAGCACACACAGGTCTAGGGAGCTTAGAGGAGATGAACCTAATAGACTACAGGCCAAGTTGAGTTCAGAGGATCATGCTACAAGAAGTTGAGATAAGCATTCACTTGTGTGGTGCCAGTCTTATTCTCTTGGGAGTGCTGCTCTGGGGATTTGTTCTCTATACTGGAATTATGACAGCACAACAAATGATCATTTGGCAGTCCCCAGGTGAACTGGGAGAACAGAATACACCCCTGGCCTTTCCCAAGTGCCGTCTTGTTGTGCCTTAGCATTCTTTGCTTCTTGCCTTGCTTTGAGGAGCATTAGTCCTAGCTACAGCTTTTTTTTTTTAAACTCAATTTTTTTCCCTTGGACCTATATTTAGATTTTTGAAGCGGTTCTGATAAGCATCAGAGCATACTGATAGCTGTTTCAGGTCTCATGAATTGTAATGGATAAGGACCAGATATTAACTTAAGATATTTTGGGAGTCCAAGGTTGGTTTTTTTTTTAATTTTTTTTTTAATGTTCAAGGTTGGTTTTGAGTATGTTGTTTTTCTGGAAGACAGAGCATTGTTGAAATGTCGTGTGATTGAATACATAAAAAGAAAGGGTAAATCAGTAAAAGAAGAGGAAAAAAGATGAGGGAGAAGTTGGTTCTCTTCCTCTGCCTCACCTCTCTCACCCCTGAAAGTGAGTTTTTACTTTCCAAGACCATCAAGTTTATATACCTGAGTTGCCTTCTTTTTGTAGGTTACCACTGTGAGCCTTATAATAACCCTGCAGACTTCTTCCTGGATGTCATTAATGGAGACTCCTCTGCTGTGATATTAAACAGAGAGGACCAAGAGGGCGAAGGTATGTGAATCTCTTGAGAGTCACAGATTATTGCCGAACCGAATTTGCTGAAGGTTAGCCATGTGGCAGCTCAGTAAAACATGGCTTTGTGAATTTATATTAATGCTGAACTCTGATAACAGTTGTCTTAGTCTGTTTGGGCTGCTGTAACAAAGATACCTTAGGCTAGGTGGCTTAAACAATAATCATTTATTTCTCACAGTTCTGGAGCTGGAAGTCCAAGGTGAAGGGTGAAGGTACCTACAGACTTGGTGTCTGTTGAGAACCCGCTTCCTGGTTCAAAGATGGGTGACTGTCTTCTCTGCCTCCTCACATGATGGAAGTGAAGAGGGGCCTCTTTTGTAAGGGTTCTGATCTCATTCATGAGGGCTGCACTCTCATGACTTAATCACCCTTCAAATATCATCACCTTGGGGATTGGGTTTCGGCATATAAATCTTGAGGGAACACGAACATTCACTCTGTAGTATTGGTCAACATAGATTTTGTTTTCCATGATTGCTATATTTTTTATGTAATGTATAAGTGAGTATTTATGTGATAGTGTCACTTCTAAGGGGAAGTTTCATTTAAAAATGCCCATTGTTTATATAATGTGAAATAAGAAACTTGGCAATTTGTATATTTGCATATAGAAGGAAAAAAGGACCAGGTTTGTATGTTAGGAATTATAACTCCCTATGGTAAGAAGTCTATTTAAAAAAAAATTAGGGTTCAAATGTTATAGTTAGGAAAAGGTCAGTAGGTTTGCTGTATTCATGAATTTATGGAAGCCGTCGGCCAGTTAACTATATTTTTCTAATGTTGTAAAGCGATGACAGATCTAATAATTTTTTATACTCAAGTGTTAGAATTAAGATGTCAGGGAAGAACCTAAGAAAGGGGTTACAGAAAAATGGGCTAAATCAGTTGTTATTTAATTTTTTAATTTTTTAATTTTATTTTTTTTTAAAGATTTTATTTATTTTTTAGAGAGTGAGCGAGCGAGAAACAGCATGAGAGGGGCGAGGGTCAGAGGGAGAAGCAGGCTCCCCACTGAGCCGGGAGCCCGATGTGGGGCTCGATCCCAGGACCCTGGGATCATGACCTGAGCCGAAGGCAGACACTTAACCATCTGAGCCACCCAGGCGCCCTCAGTTGTTATTTTATTAATAATGTTTCCCTTCTGTATCTGCTTTTGTTCCCAAGTCAAGGAGACTGAAGAGCCTTCCAAGAGAGAATCTCCACTCGTAGAAAAAATAGCTGAGTCTTATGGCAACTCTGACTTTTGCAGAAACACGAAAGATGAGTTAGATCGACTCGTAAAGGGTCATCAAAGGAAGAGCTCAGCCTTTAAGGAGATCACCTATGCCACCACCTTCTGTCATCAACTCAGATGGATTTCCAAGCGTTCATTCAAAAACTTGCTGGGCAATCCCCAGGCCTCTATAGCTCAGGTAACCTGACAGATCCTTCTGATTATGCTGGGACATACTCACGTGGGAACATGAGGTTCTGGTATAATCTATTTTGGTATTATGCTTATCTTCTGCCCAAGCTTCCATTTATTTATCCCCACTCCATCTGGGATGTAAAAACAGCCAACAGAACAAGTGAAACACCATGAAATTTTTACTTATGGAAAACTTTTTTTGGTGTGTGGGTTTTTTTTTTTTTTTTTTTGACTACTTAATTAAGACTTCTGTTGATTTAGACTAGCTGTGATGGGTAGTCTTTGTTGAAAAATCTTTTCGTCAAAAATTGTGAAATAAAGGAAGTGTTTAGCCACATTTAGGGTTTTCTGGTGGCTGCACACATTCGTTTCCTGACTCATTCAGCAAGTTCTCATCGACCGTGTGTGGTATTTTGGGAGCTTGTATACAGTGGTGAACAAAATGGGCGAAAATAAAACCCCTGTTCTCAGAGAGCTTGTTTTCCTGTGAGGTGTGACAGATGACAAATTCATACAGTAATGAACTAGATAGCAAGTCATATGGTAAAAGGAGCTATGGAGAAAGTTTAAGCACAGTGGGGGAGAAAGGAAGAGAAGAGAGAAGGAAAGGAGAGTGGGAGAGAGGGAGAGAGCAGAAAGGGGTTGATTGCATTTGAAGTCAGGCGGTCAGGGAAGCCTGCATCTAGATTCACTGAATGCACCTGAAGGTCACAGGGGTCAGCTGCTGTCTCAGGGAAGAGCCTGTGTGCAAGTGCTCTTCTTCATCATTGACCTTCTTCATTTTAGGGTTCTCATCTTAGGAGAGCACTAGGTACCTAAAACAGTTGGCAGTTAACACAACGTAGTAAGCAGGCTTGAATCCTGTTAAATAAGGCTATTCACTGTCAGATTAACTTTCTTTAGATGAAGAGGAAACCGTGTTCTTTTCCTCATTTGGCTGGCTCTGTTGGTAGTTGTTGATTACTACCCTTTTATTGTTCTGTATTCTCAGGTGCTCTGTCCTACAAAACCCTAGTATTCCCAGTTCATTGGCCCATCCTTTCTAAGGAAATCAGGTTAGCCAGTTATTTTGGGGGTGGTTGATTTTATTTATTATCAGTCATTGAATCTCTGTTGAGTACCAAAAGATGGCATGTTGTTGGCACTAATAAGATACTACTGACTTCTTGGAGGACTTGGGTGGCACAGTCAGGTGAGTGGCTGACTCTTGGTTTCAGCTTGGGTTGTGATCTCACAGTTGGGAGTTTGAGCCCTGAGTTAGGCTCACATGTTCAGTGTAGAGTCTGCTTAAGACTCTCTCTCCTTCTGCCCCCCCATCCCGCCCCATGCGTGCGTGAGATCTCTCTCTCAAATAAATAAATCTTAAAAATAAAAGATATGACTGACTTCTTACCACATGCACCAGAATTTTTGTACTTCAGTACTGTTGCCTTTTAAGTATTAGTACCAAGAATCTCTATCCCTCTGTGAGACATATTGCTAATTGCTCCAAACATTTTTGCTACTGTTATTTTGTATTTCTGTCAGAATATGAACACTTCTGTATACTATCAATCAAAGTTAAATTTTTCTTCTTTTAGAGGAGATTTGATATCGTTTGGAAACAAGTCTGATAAATAAGGTCAACCTTGTTTACCCATTGTTTCAACAGTGAGATAGTGTAATGGAGTTGATTCTTTAGCATGATTTATACATTATATTTTTTTACTTTGAAAATAATATAAATTTCTCTTTTTTCTGAAAGTGGTTTATAAGTGTCTTGTCCAAGTCACATATATAGTAGTTCTGGGCAGGATGTGATTAGAATGTGGAGTTCTTTCTTTTTTTTTTTTTTAAGTTTTTATTAAATTCTAGTTAGTTAAGGGCACCTGGGTGGCTCAGTTGGTTAAGCGACTGCCTTCGGCTCAGGTCATGATCCCAGAGTCCCAGGATCGAGTCCTGCATCGGGCTCCCAGCTCAGTGGGGAGTCTGCTTCTCCCTCTGACCTCTCCCCCTCTCATGCTTGCTCTCTCAAATAAATAAATAAATCTTTAAAAAAAATAAATTCTAGTTAGTTAATATACAGTGTATTATTAGTTTCAGATGTGCAATATAGTGAGTCAGCACTTCCATACAACACCCCGTGCTCATCGCAAGTGCCCTCCTTCATCCCCATCACCTGTTTCACCCATTCCCCACCCATCTTCTCTCTGGTAACCATCACTTTGTTCTCTATAGTTAAGAGTCTGTTTCTTGGTTTGCCTCTCTCTTTTTTCCCCTATGATTGTTTTTGTTTCTTAAATTCCACATATGAGTGAAATCATATGGTATTTGTCTTTCTCTATTTTATTTCGCTTAGCATAATACTCTCTAGCTCCATCTATGTTGTGCAAATGGCAAGATTTCATTCTTTTTTAGGATGAGTAATATTCCATTGTATATATACCACATTTTCTTTATCCATTCATCAGTCGATGGACACTTGGGCTCTTTCCATAATTTGGCTATAGTAGATAGTGCTGCTATAAACATAGGGGTGCATGCATCCCTTTGAATTAGTGTTTTTGTATTCTTTGGGTAAATAATAATAATAATGGTGCAGTTGCTGGATCATAAGGTAGTTCTATTTTTAACTTTTTGAGGAACCTCCATACTGTCTTCCAGAGTGGCTGCACCAGTTTGCATTCCCAGCAACAGTGCAAGAGGCTTCCCCTTTCTAGAATGCGGAGCTATTTCTAATACAACAGCACGATTCTGCACCTTTTGTTGCTCGGCTTCCTTCAGGTGCAGACCCAGGCCTAGTGCCTCCAGGCTGCATGTTCAACCTGCTTGCCTCCTCAGTGAACTCAGTTCCACAAAAGGAGTCCTCATAATGCTCAGATTCATGGCAATGCTGTAGAACAAAGATAGAATATTGCATCTCTCTGAGCATTACCTATTCATATTTGTACATACTGGAATGTTAACTTAGGACAGGAGCAGGCAAACCTCTTTTGTAAAGGGCTAGATAGTGTATACTTCCGGCTTTGCGGGCCATGTGGTCTTTGTCTCAGGTACTCTGAGACAACTCTGCCATTTTAGCAAGGAAGGAGCCATAGATAATACATAAACAAATGAACATAGCTATGTTCCAATAAAACTTTACCGAGGGACACAAATTAGAATTTCATTTAAATTTCATGTGGCAAGAAATAGTCTTCTTCTGTCACTCTTTTTTCCCCCAACCATTAAAAAGGTAGTAAAACTTGTTCTTAGCTAGAGGGCTAAACAGAAATAGGTGACAGGCGATGTTTGGCCTGTGGACCCTAGCTGGCTGACCTTCGGTTTAGTATTTTTAATCTTGTATGTATGTTGTTTACTTCTTTAAGTGTTTGACTGTGAGGCTATTAAACTGCTTTACGGCTTCCTGCTGATAAGTCTCGTATTGGTAATATTACAGCCATACTTAGATTTCAACTAGTCATTTATGTGATTCAGACTTTGCTTCTGAGAATGCCATTTAACCAAAGGTTGTATTTGGATGATCTTGGAGTAAATGGATCATCTGTATAAAAGGATTTAATGTCCATTTAATGTGCCATGGGTTTTTCTGATCAAATCTATTTGGAAAACACTGTTATAACTCTTAGAGATTAATTTTTCCATTGGCATATTTAACATTTGACTAAGGATTAGTTTTTTGAGTGATGGCCATAATTATCCCTCAGAACTCACCTTGAGATAATATTGCTAAACACATTTGAACATGACAGAATAACATATTTAGGGAATTTTTTTCCCCTTCTGTTCAGAGACCAGGTGTAGAGAACTCACAGATAGTGTCTTTGTGCATTCTGTTGAGCAGTGTTTAGCTTGCTTGTTTTTTTTCTTTTCTGTAATGCAAGAAAGAATAACCTAGATGCCCCTTGTGAAAGCATGACAAAATTACGAGATTACTCATTTTGTCAATGTGATTGAAAGCTGACTTGAACATTCTTTTAGAACTTTGAAACCTTTAGTAAACATCCTAATGATAAGACTGACAGTCCAGTCTGTTACTATAGGATATCAAATATTTGAATACTAAAGAAACAAGCATGTAGATTGTCCAGTTTAAAAAGTCTGAACATTCCGGGGCGCCTGGGTGGCTCAGTCATTAAGCGTCTGCCTTCAGCTCAGGTCATGATCTTGGGGTCCATGGATCGAGCCCTGCATCGGGCTCCCCGCTCGGCGGGAAGCCTGCTTCTCCCTCTCCTGCTCCCCCTGCTTATGTTTCCTCTCTCGCTGTGTCTCTCTCTGTCAAATAAACAAATAAAATCTTTAAAATAAAATAAAATAAAAAGTCTGAACATTCCTAAAGTTCTATTGTCTGAAAGTAGACTTGTATATATACACATGCACACGTGGTAATGGAGTCATTGTTTATTTTGGAAGTTTGAACTGTTGGCATGAAATGCAGTTATTCTGAGGGTAATGAAAATTATACCAAGGTAATAGATTTTTTCCCAAATTTCTGACTGTCTTATTAGCACAGGAATTCTGAAGACATCTCAGATCATACTTTTTTCCAGACTGTGGTCTTCACAAACTAGCCTTCACAGATCATGATCCTCTTTTCCAGTTTGGTTTGCTTCATGCCAAAATAGGCTTGTAAAAAATTTCAAGTCTTAATACCATTACACTGTTGTAGTACTGAGATTTTTTTTTTTTTTTTTAACTTTGAAGGTTCCGAGGTACATGGTGGGGTATTTTGTTTTCTTTAGATAACCATTCCTTCTATTTTTATATTCAATGCAATATAAAAGTACAATAAGTAGGGTTTTCTTTTTTTTTTCTTTTTTAAAGATTTTATTTATTTGACAGAGAGAGAGAGACAGAGAGAGAAGGAACACAAGCAGGGGAAGTGGGAGAGGGAGAAGCAGGCTTTCTGCTGAGCAGGGAGCCTGATGCGGGGCTCGATCCCAGGACCCTGGGACCATGACCTGAGCCGAAGGCAGACACTTAATGACTGAGCGACCCAGGTGCCCCAATAAATAGAATTTTCTTAAATAAATTATATCACAGTATAACCCTTAATCCTTTGCTTGGAAGTGTCCTTAAAAGACAATTTTATCAATCTTAAAAACAAAAGTGATGTTTATGTAGTCTTCTTAGGAGTCCCCAAACAGATGGAGTAAGCAGATGTAGGTAAGAGTGGCAAAGAATTGGCAGCTTAGTTGTACACTGTTGGCTGTAGGCCCTTGGACGGAGGTTGCTAGAGAAGCTGTGACAAGAGAATGGGTAGTGGAAGCATTTGAGTACCTTCAGAAAGAGCTGGTTGAATGATTTGGTGGCAGTGACCTTGCGCTTTTCCAGTGCAGGCATGCCCTGCCCCCTGGGTCAGGTCGGCGGTCAGCTTACCCCTGCTTCCTCATCACGCAGAATAACATTGTTAGAATTTTTTTATGTGTGTTTGAAAATTTTTATTTATTTATAATGGTAAGAGTAAAGGTATCCTGTTTTTATTTGAACCCCTTGAAATATAAAACTGCATGTTCACTAGCACAAAAGGTTGAGAGTTCAGGTCAGAACTCTTATCCATTTGGACTTTATTCCTCAAATGACCTAGCCAGGAGCTTGCATTGTTACCCTACCGTATATGGCCCTCCCAGGCCTAGTGGCCTGAATTGGACCTTGAACTGGCCTGGTGAATCACTGGGAGGAACCTTAGCATTCCAGGGGTCTGCTGTGTTCTATCAGCCTCCCCAACACACAAATCAATTATTTTTTACTTTAGAAAGCAGTCTAATAACATACACTGTTTTATATTCACTCAAGGACTTTGTCTGAACCACTTGAAGTATCTATCTCAATGGAGAAATTTGATTATGTAGCCTTATGTCTTGTAATAATAAATGGTGTGTTAAGTTTTAACACTTGTTTTTCTTTTTCTTTTTGAAAAGATAATTGTAACAGTCATCCTGGGATTGGTTATTGGCGCTATTTTCTATGATCTAAAAAATGATCCTACAGGAATCCAGAATAGGTAAGTAAATTTGGATCTTGGTTTTGAGAAAGTGCTGTTACATCTTTCTAGCTAATGAAAACCCATGAAGAATTTGAATTTGAGACAAGTACAGGGTAAACTGAGGAGTAGGATAAGTCAGTGAACTGCAAGCCAAATGCGTGTGTGTGTGTGGTGGTAATTTATACAGATTATACAGGTAATTAATTTTTACCTTCTTAACCAGTTTTAAGCGTACAGTTCAGTGACATTAAATACATTCACATTATTTTTTTTAAAGATTTTATTTATTTATTTATTTAGAGAGAGCATGCGAACGGGGGGAGGGGGAGAGGGAGAGAGAGAATTTCAAGCGACTCTGTGCTGAGTGCAGAGCCTCACTTGGAGCTTGATCTCATGATCCTGAGATCATGACCTGAGCCAAAATCAAGAGTCAGATATTTAACTGACTGAGCCACCCAGGCTCCCCAATACGTTCACATTATTGTGCAACTATCACAACCATCCAACTCCAGAACTCTTCATCTTCCTAAACTGTGTCTCTGTACCTATTGAACAATAATTCCTCATTCTCGCTTTCTTTAGTGCCTGGAAGCCACCATTATACTTACTGTCTCTGAATTTGACTACTCAAGGTACTCATATAAGTGGAATCATACAGTATTTGTCCGTTGGTGACTGGCTTATTTTCCTTAGCATGGTATCTTCAAGGTTCATCCGTGTTGTAGCATATGTCAGGATTTCTTTTCTTTTAAAGGCTGAATAATATTCCATTGCATGGATATACCATATTTTGTTTATGTATTTCTCTGTCCTTGGACACTTGGGTTATTTCTACCTTTTGGCTGTTGTGAATGTTGGGGAGGAAGAATTTCCTCTGTCATTCAAAGTCCTTCTAGTAGGACTGAGAATCACATTGACATGAGACAGATTAACAGGAAAAAACCAAATTTAATAGCATGTATAGAGGGAATCCACACAGACATGCAAATTCCAAAAGCAGTGAGACAACATGATGCTTATATGAGCTAAGGAGAAGGCTGGGTAGGGTAAGGGGAGAAAGACTTTAGCAGGGAGGTGGGAGATGATGTTTGGAAAACAAAGGTTGCCCCCTTATGCAAATAAGTTTCTTAGGCAAAGAGGCATCTTTTTTTTTTTTTTTTAAAGATTTTATTTATCTGACAGAGAGAGACACAGCGAGAGAGGGAACACAAGCAGGGGAAGTGGGAGAGGGAGAAGCAGGCTTCCCACAGAGCAGGGAGCCCGATGTGGGGCTCAGTCCCAGGACCTTGGGATCATGACCTGACCCGAAGGCAGACGCTTAATGACTGCGCCACCCAGGCGCCCCAAGAGGCATCTTTCTTAATAGCTCTCTTCTTAAAAGGCTCTCCTTTCCAATTTAAATTTAGGCAGTTGTGGGGGAGATAAGAAGCTTTTTTTTTTTTTTTAAGATTTTACTTACTTATTTGAGAGAGAGAATGAGATAGAGAGAGAGAGCATGAGAGGGGGGAGGGTCAGAGGGAGAAGCAGGCTCCCTGCTGAGCAGGGAGGCTGATGCGGGACTCGATCCCGGGACCCTGGGATCATGACCTGAGTCGAAGGCAGTCGCTTAACCAACTGAGCCACCCAGGCACCCAGAAGCTTTTTTTAAAAATTTTATTTATTTGACAGAGAGAGAGAAAGAGAGAGCAAGAGCACAAGTAGGGGGAGCAGGAGACAGAAGGAAAGGGAGAAGCAGGCTCCCCACCAAGCAGGGAGCCTGACGCAGGGCTTGATCCCAGGACCCCAGGATCATGACCTCAGCCGAACGCAGATGCCTAACTGACTGAGCCACCCAGGTGCCGTGAGATAAAAAGCTTTTCCTGAATCTGCTAGGTCTTGATTGCTTTTAACTCAAAATAATTTTCATGTCAAAGTGACCCATCTTGGAGTGGCCTGCCCTTTACCCCTAATTGAGCAATGTTGCTATGAACGTGGATGTAAAATATCTGTTTGAATCTCTGCTTTAAATTCTTTTGGATTTTTACCCAGAAGTAGAACTACTGGATTATTTGGTAATTCTATGAAATATTCTATCTTCCACAGCAGCTGTATCATTTTGCATTCCTGCCAGCAGGGCACAAGGGTTTCAATTCCTCTACATTACCAAACGTTATTTTCTGTTTTTTTTTTTGTTTTTTTTTTTCTTTTAAATCATAATAACCATCCCAATTGGTGTCAGGTGATAGCTCATGTGATTTTTTTTTTTTTTTAGATTTTATTTATTTGCGAGAGAGAGAATGAGAGACAGAGAGCATGAGAGGGAGGAGAGTCAGAGGGAGAAGCAGACTCTCTGCTGAGCAGGGAGCCCGATGTGGGACTCGATCCTGCGACCCCAGGATCATGACCTGAGCCGAAGACAGTCGCTTAACCAACTGAGCCACCCAGGCGCCCAGCTCATGTGATTTTTGATTTGCAATCCCCTTATGATTAGCCCCGCGTCGGGTTCTCTGCTCAACGGGAGGCCTGCTTCTCCCTCTCCCGCTCCCCCTGCTTGTGTTCCCTCTCTCGCTGTCTCTCTCTCTGTGTCAAAATAAATAAATAAAATCTTAAAAAAAAAAAAAAAGAATTAGAATACCTTAAATTCTTTAGCAATAAAACTGTATTTACTATAAATGTCAGTATCTACTAGTTCAGATTCATGTTGAACATAACAGTATTGTTAGATATAAGGCTTAACAAATTGAGCTGAATTGTTGCATGTCCCATCTTTCTTTTTCTTTCTTTCTTTCTTTCTTTCTTTCTTTCTTTCTTTCTTTCTTTCTTTCTTTCTTTTCTTTCTTCCTTCTTGTTCTTCACTCTGATGTCTCTCCCTTTCCTTTTAAGGGCACTGATCCCATTGTGAGGGCTCTATCCTCATGACCTCATCTAAATCTAATTATCTCCCAAATACACTGTCTCTAAATATCATCACATTGAAGGTTCGGGCTTCAACATTGGAATTTGGGGAGGACACAGTTCGATCCATAGCAACCCAGGACCTTGACTTCCAAACTGTGCTCTGTGGAGTCCCAGGGGTACCACTGTGGATACACAGAGATGGTGGGGAGAAAGCTGGTGGGGCACATACTTCCCTCTGTTTTAACCAGAACAGTTTCTATTTCATGTTATAAGGTATCGTTTGAGGAGAGAGTTTTGCAGTTAGAAATTTGATTTAAGAATGTTTAATCGACTGCAGTGCTTTCCCCCCGCTTTCTCTCATTGCAGATCAGGGGTGCTCTTCTTCCTGACGACCAACCAGTGTTTCAGCAGTGTTTCAGCTGTGGAGCTCTTTGTGGTCGAGAAGAAGCTCTTTATGTGAGTAGGTCTCTGTTCCAGGAAGGGGGCTATCCGATATCAGGGGCTGTTGGTCAAACTGGTCATATCCAGTATTGGGCCACAGCTTGGTTCCTGGGGATTGCCGATGTTAATTGAGAAAAAGCAGCCAGAGGCTGGAAGGACAATCATGAGCACCTGGGGCTTGATACCAAGGGAAAAAGGAGTTCAAGAATAGGGCAGAGCCAGCAAACCCAAATGCTGCAGAAAAAGCAAGCGATAAAGGGGCTAAAAGGGATCTTTTGTTTTTAGCAAATGAGAAGTCATGATGGCCCTTACAGGAAGTTAGAGAGGCTTGGTAGAGAGAAGGTGGTGGGTTGAGCAGTAAATATAAGGTGTGGAGGTCAAGTTGACAAAGAATGTGGACCCAGCTTAACCCTGAATGGGAGGGGAATGGAAGGAACCAAAAAGGGCAGCCTTAAAATAAAGTAGGGGCTATTTTGTTTCTTGTGTTTTTCAAAGTTGGATGAGATTTGCCCGTATTTACATGCTGAGGAAAGGAATCATTCAAGAGGGAAAGAAAGATATTGGTGGAGGAGTTTGGAATTACAGGAGGAAGATGTCAGGAAGAGGAAGGGGTCTAGAACTGGAGAGGGAAGGAAACAGGATTTGATGGCTGACAGGGATGTATGGTTGAAAGTTGAAAGGTATGATTGTTGAAGGAAGAAGTGCCATTTTCTTTTTTATCATGAGAGTGGAAGAAGTGATCCAAGGTGCATTAGGAAGCTCGGAGGATAGCAGAGCCACCTTCTTCATAATCAGAAGTGGGGAGAAAGTAAAGCCTCTACCATAACTGAGCTCAGCTACTGGAGTGCTGTTCTCCAAGGAGAGCCAGTGTTGGAAGAGAGGGAGGAGATGCAGATCTGCCCACTGGGAGTGGGTGCTTAGGGGGCAGAATAGATGGCATCTAGTGGGAGTTCTATAACGAGAAGAGGGGTATTGCACAGACTCGTGTGGGCCTGACATCACAGGGAAGGCTCACACCCAAGATGGTGCCTGATGCTGACAGGATGGTGGCGGGGGTTTGCCTCAAGGATATGAGAAGCTGTAGTCATTAGACCCCTGGTGGTGGCGAAGTCTGTAGGTAAGCAAGCAGCCCAATCTGGTCTTTGCCTTCCTAAACTAATGTAGGACAATTTTTTTCTTTTTTAGACATGAATATATCAGTGGATACTACAGAGTGTCATCTTATTTCTTTGGAAAACTGTTATCTGATTTACTACCCATGAGGATATTACCAAGTATTATATTTACTTGTATAATATACTTCTTGTTAGGTAAGCAATATGACAAAAGGTTTGTGTCTTTAGTCTTGGATATGAGGGTAAGCCAGTTTCTTTTTACCAGCTTAGTTTTGGTTCTCAGACTCTAAACCAAGCCAGTGAGAGAAGGAGACATCTATCCATTGTGTGTGCAATGAAATAACTGTTCTTTGAGGACATTTTTGTCAAGACTTGTCCCAAACTAACTTAAAACTATTTATAAAACTGTATTTTACTGAAAGATGCTGTGTGTCATTTATAAACATGAAAAGAATTCACGAAACTATTTGAGACTCTGCTGGAGGAGCTGAGATAGTTACTACCTATTTATGTTTGTTTGTGTTTTTTTTTTCCAAAGATTTTATTTTTTATTTATTTGACAGAGAGAGGCACAGCGAGAGAGGGAACACAAGCAGGGGGAGTGGGAGAGGGAGAAGCAGGCTCCCCTCAGAGCAGGGAGCCCGATGCGGGGCTCGATCCCAGGACCCCCGGATTGTGACCTGAGCTGAAGGCAGACACTTAACGACTGAGCCACCCAGGCGCCCCTACCTATTTATATTTTTATTCATGTGTGTGTCTGTGTGTTTATATGTAAACATAGTGAAAGACAGTGACTTTCAGGGCTTCCTGCTTTAATACAAATACTTGTTTGATAGGTGTAGTTAGATTTATTTCTGCATTGTGTTTAGGCTTTACCCCAGGCTCATTGTATCAGAATTTCCATATATTTTACTGATACACATAAACACACACACACATTAGAAATATATATTTTAATTAAAAAAATATATAAGTAAAGCGCTATAGAGGAACATCAACTGATTGAGTTTAAACTTCCATGTTATATATAAGAGGTGTGTCATAAAGAATTAGGTGTAGAACCTAGATCCTCCGACTCTTGACTGGTGGTCTTATGGCTGTTCCAAAATCTTCAGATTGTGTGACGCATAATATGAGTCCATTACGGTTTGTAGTTTTATGAAGCTTATTTAACCCCACCCTCAATCCCAAAATTATATGGTGCTTTGTCTTGGGGGACTTGGACTGTGGAGATGTTCCCCCGGGGATACTGAAACCACTGAGAGGTCATGTAATCTTCTTCCCAGCTTATTTACTCAATGCAGTTATAGCAAACAGTCATGTGGTGATATTTGGGTAAAACAAATATGCTACTGACAAGTTTCCTTCTTAGAAGAAAAGGCGACGGGATGGGGGGCCAGTTGTGTGGCCTGGAGCTCTCCATCTCGGGCACTCAGAAATTGTTAATAATTACAAATAAAGGAGCAGAGATGTTATACAGAAATGTGCTTATGCCTCAAGTATAAAAAAGACACTTTATGATAACTTTATACAGCAACATGGGGGAACTGGTAATGAAATTGGTGACCCAAGGTGGCTGGACAGAGGATGAATTTTCCTCATTCTGGTATTAGTGTCTCAAAATATTACGTGCTTTGCACAGTAAGCGGTCCCAAATACACAGTTACCGCAGCAGTTGGATTCAACCCCTCTTTTCTTCCCAACTAAGGCTTGAAACCAGTTGTGGAGGCCTTCTTCATCATGATGTTCACCCTTATGATGGTGGCTTATTCAGCCAGTTCTATGGCACTGGCCATAGCAGCAGGCCAGAGTGTGGTATCCATAGCAACACTTCTCATGACCATCTCCTTTGTGTTTATGATGGTGAGTAGGAATTGTGCTTCTCTGAGAAGTAATTGTTTCCCCTTATTCCTTCCCACAAACGTACCTGTTTCCTGAAACCTGCTCTCAGGACTCTGTAAATGGGATTCTCTTCTTTAAGGAGACCATGTATTGAGGTACAGCTTAGAGCACGTACAGATTTTTCTTGACATTACCCAGCATTTTTGGCTACTGTTCTAATACAATTGCTATAACTTTTCAGTTAACGTTTTGTTACAGATGAGTTTTTAAAAGATGCTTCTTGGTGACATATAGTGAAACCTTGATAAACTGGAACTAGCCAAACTAGACTTTAAACCAAAGACTGTAACAAGAGACGAAGAAGGGCACTATATCATAATAAAGGGGACAGTACAACAAGAAGATCTAACAATTGTAAATATTTATGCCCCCAATATGGGAGCATCCAAATATATAAAACAATAACAGACATAAAGGAATTCATTGATAATAATTCAATAATAGTAGGGGACTTTAACACCCTACTTGAAGCGGTGGACAGATCCATCTAATCAGAAAATCAACAAGGAAACAATGGCTTTGAATGACACACTCGACCAGATGGACTCAACAGATATATTCAGAACATTTCATCCTAAAGCAACAGAATAGTCTTTTCAAGTGAACATGGGACTTCTCCAGAATAGGTCACATACTAGGTTACAAATCAGTCTCAATAAGTACAAAAAGGTTGAGATCATACCATACATATTTTCTGACCACAACACTGTGAAACTTGAAGTCAACCACAAGAAAAGATTTGGAAAGACCACAAATACGTGGAGGTTAAACAGCATTCTACTAAACAATGAATGGGTCAACAGGAAATCAATAAATTCAAAAAATACATGAAATAAATGAAAATGAAAACACAATGGTCCAAAACCTATGGGGTGCAGCAAAAACAGTCCCAAGAGGGAAGTATATAGCAATACAGGCCTACCTCAAGAAGGAAGAAAAATCTCAAATAAACAACCTAACCTTGTACCTAAAGGAGCTAGAAAAAGAACAACAAATAAAGCCTAAAGCAAGCAGAAGGAAGGAAATATTAAAGATTAGAGCAGAAATAAATGATATAGAAACTTAAAAAAAAATCCCAATAGAATAAATCAATGAAATCAGGAGCTGGTTCTTTGAAAAAATTATAAAATTGATAAACCCATAGCCAGACTTATCAAAAAGAAAAGAGAAAGGATCCAAATAAATAAAATCACAAATGAGAGAGGAGAAATAACAGGCAACACCACAGAAATACAAACAATTATAAGAGAATATTATGAAAAATTATATGCCAACAAATTGGACAGTCTGGAAGAATGGACAAATTCCTAGAAACATAAAAACTACCAAAACTGAAACAGGAAGAAATAGAAAACTTGAACAGACCGATAACCAGTAAAGAAATTGAATCAGTAATCAAAAATCTCCCAACAAATAAAAGTCGAGGGCCAGATGACTTCACAGGGGAATGCTACCAAACATTTAAAGAAGAGTTAGTACTTATTCTTCTCAAACTATTCCAAAAAATAGAAATGGAAGGAAAACTTCCAAACTTATTCTACAAGGCCAGCATCACCCTGATTCCAAAACCAGACAAAGACTGCACTGAAAAAGAGAACTATAGGCCAATATCCCTGATGAACATGGTTGCAGAAATGCTCAGTACAATATTCGCATACCGAATCCAACAGTACATTAAAAGAATCATTCATCACGATCACATGGGATTTATTCCTGAGCTGCAAGTTTGGTTCAGTATTTGCACATCAGTCAACATGATTCACCACATTAATAAAGGCCAGGATAAGATCTATACGATCCTCTCAGTTGATGCAGAAAAAGCATTTGACAAAGTACAGCATCGCTTCTTGATAAAAAACCTCAACAAAGTAGAGATAGAGGGAACATACCTCAATATCATAAAGGCCATATACAATAAACCCACAGCCAATATCATCCTCAGTGGAGAAAAACAGAGCTTTTTCTCTGTGGTCAGGAACAAGACCAAGATGTCCACACTCACCACACTCACCACTGTTATTTAACATAGTACTGGAAGTCCTAGCCTCAGCAACCAAGACAACAAAAAGAAATAAAAGGCATCTAATCGGTAAAGAAGAAGTAAAACTTTTACTATTTGCAGATGACATGATACTCTATAGCAAACTCAAAACACTCCACCCAAAAACTGCTAGAACTGACACATGAATTCATTAAAGTCACAGGATGCAAAGTCAATGTGTAGAAATCTGTTGCATTTTTATACACCAATAATGAAGCAGCAGAAAGAGAAATCAAGGAATCAATCCCATTTACAGTTGCACCAAGAACAATAACCATCCAGTAATTGCACTACTAGGTATTTACCCAGAGGGGAGAAAATACTGATTCGAAGGGATACATGCACCCCTGTGTTTATAGCAGCATTATCAACAATAGCCAAATTATGGAAAGCGCTCAAATGTCAATTGACCGATGAATGGATAAAAAAGATGTGGTAGGGCGCCTGGGTGGCTCAGTTGGTTAAGCGACTGCCTCTGGCTCAGGTCATGATCCTGGAGTCCCGGGATCGAGTCCCACATCGGGCTCCCTGCTCGGCGGGGAGCCTGCTTCTCCCTCTGACCCTCCCCCCTCTCATGTGCTCTCTCATTCTCTCTCTCTCTCAAATAAATAAATAAAATCTTTAAAAAAAAAAAAAGGGGGCGCCTGGGTGGCTCAGTCGTTAAGCGTCTGCCTTCGGCTCAGGTCATGATCCCAGGGTCCTGGGATCGAGTCCCGCATCGGGCTCCCTGCTCGGTGGGAGGCCTGCTTTTCCCTCTCCCACTCCCCCTGCTTGTGTTCCCTCTCTCGCTGTGTCTCTCTGTCAAATAAATAAATAAAATCTTTAAAAAAAAAAAAAAGATGTATATATACAGAATGGAATATTACTCAGCCATCAGAAAGAATGAAATCTTGCTATTTGCAGTGATGTGGATGGAGCTAGACAGTTTTAGGCTAAGCGAAATAAGTCAGAGAAAGAAAAATACCATATGATTTCACTCCTATGTGTAACTTAAGAAACAAAACAAATGATCATAGGGGCAAAAAGAGAGAGGCAAACCAAGAAACAGACTTAACTATAGAGAGCAAACTGATAGTTGCCAGAGGAGAGGTGGTTAGGGGGTTGGGTTAAATAGGTGATGGGGATGAAGGAGAGCACTTGTGATGAGCACCAGCTATTGTATGGAAGTGTTGAATCACTAAATTGTACACCTGAAACTAATATTAGAGTGTATGTTAACTAATTGGAATTTAAACAAAAACTTCTAAAAAAAACCCCACAAAACCCAGAAAAGTTTTGATTATAAGATTCCCTCATAAAAATGACAGGTTAATTACCCAACTTCTGTGCTAGTGTTAGAGAACCATTGACTTATTTAAGCAGTAACTTAATGGTTTGGTTGGATCTACTCCTCCCCAAGGGAATAGGCTAAGCTCCATGAGAAATAGAACAGTTTGCAGTGTGGGTAGTCTATCCTGGGTCCCTCCTATATTTTGAAAAGGGGTGTTTTAAAAAGTTCCAAAACTCACACAGTACTCCGTCTCCTCCTTTCTGGGTTCCTGACATTCTCCTATACCAATGTATTTCTGCTTACCTTTTTTTTTTTAATGGTTACTGAAGCCTAACCTTACATGTCCCTTAATTTTACCTGTACATAGATGAATCAGTAGGTGAATCAGCTAGTTACCACCTTGCTCCTTAACTACATCAAGTGAACAGGAACGTTTAGCCTGTTTACTTAATACACGTGTTCTTTCTGCTAAGATGTCTTGAAAAGGAGCATAATTAGCACAACTTTTTGCCAAAGTTTAAGTCTTCCATTTCTTTCTTTTTTTTTTTTTTTAAGATTTTTATTTATTTGACAGAGAGAGATACAGCGAGAGAGGGAACACAAGCAGAGGGAGTGGGAGAGGGAGAAGCAGGCTTCCCGCAGAGCAGGGAGCCCGATGTGGGGCTCGATTCCAGGACCCTGGGATCATGACCTGAGCCCAAGGCAGACGCTTAACGACTGAGCCACCCCGGCGCCCCCAGTCTTCCATTTCTGAGTCTGACATCTATCAATCTAAACATTATTAAGAGTGATAAACCTTGCATATATTTTCTATCATGTTATCCAATAAATAATGTGTCATCGATTTATAAAAGTAGTTATATTTGTGTGATATATTAGATGTTTCACCTTATTATTATTTAAAAGTTTGTATATAGATCCTTTATAACTGGTCATAAAACCATATTTTACTCAGAGATGCTGTGTGTCCTCTGTTTAGCACCTGGTTAAGTCAAGTTCAAAAGTATGTAGTCACTCCAGCAACATTGTCATTGTTATGTCTATCCCAGCATACCTCCTTCCAGTTAGAAGTTTTAGATGAGCCTCTTCTCACGTAGCCATCTGTTGCTGGAGTAATCTGCCCCGGGATCTTCACTGTAAGACTGCTCTTTGGTAGCTTTAAATGAAGGTATTCACCATATTTTATGTAGTACTTCCCCGTGTTATTCTGTATATCAGTTCCAGGATTTGGGTTATTTTAGCATGCATCCTGAACCCCAGATTATTTCTGGAGTCATGCAGAGCGCAAGCCCTTGTAACTAACAAATCTTACTGTGTTAGGGCAATAGACAGGGGCATGAGATGTTCAGGATCTGTTCTGGTATGTTTACTGGTGTGAACATATAATGGTTGTATCATTAGAACAGTCAGTCCTTTATTGACCTTTCATTGTGGGCAGTTACCAAAAGTAAAATCCTTGACAATGAAGGGTCTTCCAATTAAATGACATAGGTATTATTAGATATATTGTCATTCCTTTAGAACCATAAACAGCCTCAGCTCTAGAGAGGCATACGTATGCAGAGTGGAGAAGTCTTAGAAGAAACGTTTGTAAAGGTTATCGGGGACTCAGAAATTATTCTCTGTAATTCTCCATGAAATCCCTTCACCAGGTCTGATTCTTGGCATTTGCTTTTTGTAGATATTTTCAGGGCTGTTGGTAAATCTCAGAACTGTTGGGCCTTGGCTCTCCTGGCTTCAGTACTTAAGCATTCCTCGATATGGCTATGCGGTAAGTTTTCCTCACATGTCCTTGTGACTGCTTCATTGTTCCCAAGCTAGAACCAACCAGAATAAAGCCTAACAACCTCATGGCCCCAGCCACGAACTGTGAAAGTCTCCCAGGGGTTTCATTTTCAGAGTGATGAAGAAGAGTTTCACCTTGATCATCACCTGAGGTTTCCCCAGTCACCCTGCTGCCTGAGGGAGGTGAGGAGTGGAGAGAGAACGCCTCATGAAGGAGAAAGATTGCCTAATGGATATAAAAACATGTAGTTGCATTTCAGTTCCATACGAAAATAGAGGATGGGAGCCTAGAGTACATATTTTATATATTAAAATTAGAAGAAAAAGAACATATAATACAGCTACTGTGTTGGCTTTAGAAAGTTCATCAACTCCAAAGAAAACTGTGTCTTAATATAGTATGATTGGGTTTATAACTCCCAAGAATTAGCACTGGTTTTGATGAAAAGAAACAAGAACAATATAAAAGATTCTTACCTGTAAATTGACAATAGTCATTGAGTACCGCTGTATGATTTTAATTACACTGTTTGTGGGGTTATAAAATTAGGGAGAGAAGAAGGGAGAAGTTACAGGTAAGATAACCAGAGGTCTCCCCTCTTTGCCAAATACTTTACGTCCTTTGTTTTAGAAGCCAGAATCCCAACATAGGCCACTCAATTGCCAGGGAGCAGAATTTTAGTTGCTCTGGTGTGACCGAGACCATAAATGTGAAGCTTGGTTTGCTTTTAGGAATAGCAGTAAAGATTAAACTAGGAGGACATGATCATTCTTTGGAGACTTTTTGAAATTTAAAATCATTTACCGGGCGCCTGGGTGGCTCAGTCTGTTAAGCACCTGCCTTCGGCTCAGGTCATGATCCCAGGGTCCTGGGATCAAGCCCTGCATCGGGCTCCCTGCTCTGCGGGAAGCCTGCTTCTCCCTCTCCCACTCCCCCTGCTTGTGTTCCCTCTCTCACTCTCTCTCTGTCAAATAAATAAATAAAATCTTAAAAAAAATAAATAAAATCATTTACCTTGTCTCATCCCCCCTTGTGTTACAGGCTTTGCAGCATAATGAGTTTTTGGGACAAAACTTCTGCCCAGGAGTCAATGTAACAGCGAATAATACCTGTAGCTATGCGATGTGAGTTTGTACTCAGTGTCAGAATGGATTTGCTTACTCTTGTGGTGTCAGGTAGCGAGGCCACTGGGCCGCGTGGCTGGTGTGGGTCCTTTCACCGACTTCTCTGAGCTGTTGTACCCAGTGCACATCTCCTTGACATTCTACTCTGGTCAAAGTTATATTTAAGTTGGGGAAATGTTTCTGATATGTTGTTCATTTGGGGCCTTTTAAAACACTGTTTTGATTGTGGGCTTTAGCTTTTATTTTCAGAACAGTTGAGTTTGAAATGAGCTGCTTTGATATTTTAGCGAAGCCTTAGGATATTGGAATTGTATGGGTTATGGGAAGTGTATGGATCCATGAACTTAAGGCTTCCTGTAAGCCCACGCCACGGCCAGGAGCAAGAGACTGAAAGGCAGCTAGAGCGGAACAGAGGGAATATTTCCCGGGCACATTTGTGGCACGTACCTCTTCCTCCGGCACTTAAATGGGATACATTATGAAATCGAAGTCTACACGGCTTTTTTTTCTTTTAAAATGACTTGGAATATCCTTATTAAAGCATGTACCCTCTAAAGAAAGAAACACATTTCAGTCAGCTGAGAAACAAGTCCCATTTATTGCGTAATGTCAATAAAACAGAAATGCACATTTTCATAAAATCAGGATATTGTTTCAAAAATTGAGTAACACTTTACTTATTGATGATTGTTGTTAACGGTTTGATTCTGATACATTAACTAGTGAAAGAAAAGAGAATGCTGGTATCCAAATCTCATGAACCTTCATGAAATAATTCTTAGTAACAGGACAGAGTGCTGTTTTGTAGTATTTCTAGAAAACCTCTATAAAGAGTTTTCTTTATCCTGCCCACTCCCTCTCTTTTTTGTCTGGGCTTAACACCTTTTGGGGTGGACTGCTAGATTTCAAGAGTTGCACAAAGATGGGATAACGGGTAATAATTAAGGCTGTGTCAGGTGTTCTTAGTGCCAGGTGCTTTTCTAAACGGTGGCAGGGCTCCTGCACCCTTGTTGTGCTTCGGCTGCCGCTGAGGCTTCCACCTGATTAAGTGGGCCTGCTGGTGATGGCATGTTGCAGAGCATCTGCAGTGCTCAGACCGGCCTTGGTGCAACAGCTGATGGAACGCGACGGTGCCAGGAAGGCCTTGCTCACCTCTTTTCCCAGTTTCAAAATTCTTAGCCTGTGTTCGTTTGTATGGCTGATTTGTGGGTGATGAGTTCTAGAAAGAGCTTTGATCATCTCGGTAAGGGCCTTTGATGTCATCTGTTAAAAGTGAGGTTTTCCCCATCAGGAGTGAGGGCAAAATTACTTGATAAATGTTTTTGCCCTTTAAAGAGAGCAGCAGAGATCTGGAAACAAATGAATTTGCAGAGACTAGCAGTTTGGTTCACAGTGTGAGTCTGTGGACTTGGACAAGTTCCTTACAACCTTAGCCTCTTCATCTTTTAAATGTATGTACTAACCGCCATTGGGCTGTTTTAGGGATTAACTAAACTGTTACACGCAGATTGCTTAGCATAGTATCTAATGGATTCGTAAGCACTCATTGTCTGTTGTACATGAAGGCATAGTTATTTAAGCCTTGGTAACCTATGGGAGGAGTGAATTTAAATGAGTAAAATTTGACAGATGCTAAGAATGAAGTCATATTCTTTTTCTGTTGAATTTCAGATGTACTGGCGAAGAATTTTTGCTAAACCAGGGCATCGATCTCTCCCAGTGGGGCTTGTGGAAGAATCACGTAGCCTTGGCATGTATGATTGTTATCTTCCTTACAATTGCCTACCTAAAATTGTTATTTCTTAAAAAATATTCTTAAATTCCTCTTTAATTTACATGATTGATCCACACATTAAAAATGGAGCATCTTGATTTATTTTAAATATTCCGAAGTGTTTTTGTTGTCTTTTCTTTTGGCATCATACTGTTCAGCAAGAATTATTTTCAGCAAAGACATTCACAGAAACCGTGGTGAACTGAATTACACATGAAAGAATCCAAGTCATAAACTAGTGCTCTTATGAACTGCGTATTGGTTCATCTAGTCATACAGTAACCATGGGGGAGGCATCTAGTTTAATTTATGGACCTAAAAAATAATTGAATTCTAGGAACTTGTGACAAGTTCTGAACACCTCTGATACCAGTTTCCTCATCTTTAAAAGGAGTAGAGGGTTCGTTGCTTCCAGCTCCAGTATCATCTGAATCTATGATCTGCCATTATTTAGTAGAATCTACGATCTGCCATTATTTAGTAAATAATAACAACAAATATACAGATGCAGTGGTGGAAGTACGAAATCTAAACTGTGTTGGAAAAACCCAGTGTGATTCATAGGGTAAAAAAAGCCATTCTGAGAGAAGAAGCTTTGCTGGGCCTTTTAAGGTTATTAGAACTTAGATTTCTCTGTTGTGGACTCAGAACACCGCAGGAGGTTTGCCGGCCTCAGACGAGGTGTGGAGGGTGCTTAGCTGTGCTGGGGCATTCAGGGGTCTGTGGTCTGGATGCGCGTCACAACCTCCCGGGGCACTTGGCTCAAATGCACAGTGCGCCCGGCTGCGTCAGCATCTCCAGGGCTGCTTCAGAAAGAATGGGCCACGCCAGGACCCGGGAACTACCAAGATCCTTCCCGGCTCCGAACACTTGGATCTGTGATACCATAACTGTCACAACTGCCCCCATACAGACGTCTTCGCTCCTACATAGACATCTCTTATTCACAGATTTTCTCTTCATTCTAACCTTTATCGGAACTAGGAAAGAATTTCTTAACTTCTTTTTTTATTAGAGGGTAATGTAGGGGAAAGTGTAGTCCAGTGAATTATCGTAAAAGGAACATGCTGGTGCAGCTACCGACCTAGGGGCAGAAACGGGACATGACCAGCACATGGGAGCCCCCCTGGTGCCCGCTCCCCATCACTACTTCCTCCTCTCTGGGTTGTTTCTGAAATGACGCTTGCATACTCCTCTCTGTTGCTGTTATCACACATCACAACAGCTGAGTTTTGTGTTCCCGTGTGCATAGATCCATCCTTATTTAAGTCCCTCCCGCCCCCTTTTAATGAAGTATTAATACAGAGAAGTTGCAAAGACAGTATTTGCCCAACTTTCCTTAATTGTTAACATTTATAGACCATGGTACATGTCAGAAGAGATTAACACTGTACATTATTATACTTAAACTATGCACTTTATTCAGATTTCACCACTTTCACACTAACATGCTTTATTCCAGGATCCATTTCAGGAGATCACATTGCAATGAATCCCCCTTTTTATAAAAGGAAACACTTTTCAGTATTAATAGGAATTAAGTGAGTCTGAGGATCACCAGTGTAGACTCCTTGTGATTGCTCATCTTGGAGTATCGTTTAGTGTCAGTGGGTGCCCTGCCATATTGGCGTGACATCAGTCCAGGGACGTAGCATTATATTTTTAAGAAACTTTTTTTAGATGACATTTGATTAATGCATCATCTTGTAACATGTTATCACATACTCTTTTTACCTGATTATTATGTGACCATCAGGGTTAATCAGTTTTTCCTGTTCTTGGTATATAATCCTGGCTTCCTTAGAGTTCTCTGTATACACTCTTCCCTCATTATATATATATATATAATATTTATATATACTTATATATATATTTATATATATATTATATTTATATATATATATAAAGTGTGTGTATATGTATACACATACACACATACTTTACATACAAAATACACTTAAAGAAGAAACAAAACAGCCAAATATATTAATACCTACTTTTGAAAAGAATTTAAATGTATCTTGTTATATTTACCATCCCTTTATATTACAATATCCTTTTTTACACAGTTGTTTTTAATTATGGTAAGAAACACATAACATAAAATTTGCCATCTTCACCATTTTTGAGTTAAGGAACACTTTTTAAAGTATAAGTAAATATAAGTCCTATAAAATAGAAAATATAAATTTATAGAAATTTACTTCAGACTATGTCTATATTCCTTTGAATTTTGTTTTTATTTTCTTGGATGTCACAAGAACCAATCGATAATGGAGAGGGTGAATTCATTTGGTTTAAAATAAAAGAAACCTCAGGAATAAATGAAAAGTGTTAGCTACTACTCTATTCCTTCCATTGCTCTCGTGGTGGCTTGAAGTGGGTTGTTGAAGAGGCGGCGTATGTACTCAACTCCTTCTCCATCTTGGAAGCCATTCTTCATGGTCTTTAGATTTGAACTGTATTAACCTCAGTACCTCAATATCTACATATATTTGAGAAGTAGCAGTACTCGTATTTATATGACATCTTTAGACCACCCCAGTGCCTGCTCAATGGGCCTCAGATGAGACGAGTTGAGGTAGCTGGGGCAGATACCATTCATGGTCCAAGAGCTTGGGCTCTCACCAACACTGATGTATGAGCGGCCACTATGGATGCCTGAGCTGCCTGAGCTCTCCATACGGTCCTGTCCTTTGACTAGAGCAGCAGGCCACTTGGTGACAAGTTGATAACATACAATAACTTTATGGTTGGCCCAGAAATCTGTGAGGATCAGTGTCTTAGAGTATGAGTCCTACCGGAGGCCTTACATTTGTAGAGATTCTGTACTTTGTGTTTTATTTTGCATTCCCTCATGGAAGAACTGTATGGTGTTCTATGATACCTCTTGCTCTACTGTGTCTAAGGGATTTTCCTTATGGTTGTAGCAGTAGAATTATTAGAAAGTCATCCGCTTGAGAGTACTTCCAAGTCATTGCAATGTTAAAACTTTTGGCTAGTATCCATGGTAAAAAGTATATTTCATTTGAACAACGCACTGCTTGTGTGCACCCAGATAATCCAAACAGGTTTCATGGGGTGCATTTCGAAAGTTATTTCTGAAAATAGAGTTTGAGTAAAACGATTTTATAGGCCCACCAGTATAATACAGTGACCATGTAATCAATAAATATTTTCAAAGTTAAACAATTTTATATGCCCTTTACTTATTTTTAGTGTCCTGGTTTGAGCAATTATATGTTTATGATGGTAATATTGTTTTACCTCCCTCAGATAGAATTCATAAAGATTAAGTAATTCTTGATACTTATTTTTCATTTTTTTTTTGTTTTCATACATCCTTACATTCTCTGAATTCCTTCTTGCATCTATAAAATGAGAATTTCTTTTAGCTTTAGCATTTTTTTTTTAAAGATTTTATTTATTTATTTGACAGATAGAGACAGCGAGAGAGGGAACACAAGCAGGGGGAGCGGGAGAGGGAGAAGCAGGCTTCCCGAGGACCAGGGAGCCTGATGCGGGGCTCGATCCCAGGACCCTGGAATCATGACCTGAGCGGAAGGCAGATGCTTGACAGCTGAGCTACCCAGGCACCCCTAGCTTTAACATTTTAGGTTATATGGTTGTTTGTATTGAATTGTCCATTTTTCAACTAGCTTCAAGAAGAGCAGCCACCCAGCTTGACTTTTCAACTTCGCCTATGTGCTTTTGGTATAATCCTGTAATTTCTTTCATATGAATTGTTACCAAAATAACTGGAATCTTACTTATGCAGATTTAGACTCAAAGTTGCTAAAATCAAGGAGGGCCTTCTCTCTGTTTGAAAGGTTGGCCTTTGACTTGTTCATCTGGTTAGTTTTAAGTATTTTCTTTTTACATTCCGCTTTGGTTGGTAGGGGTAGGACCGAGCAGAGTTCTTTATTCCTGTAGACCAGGGGTTGACAGACTTTATCTGTGAAGAGATCTAAGAAATATTTTGTAGTCTTTGCCTGTTTTTTTTTTTTTTTTAGACGACCTCTTAAAAATGTAAAAATCGTTCTTGAAAATGTAAAAACTATTCTTAGCTTGAGGCTATACAACTCAGTGTGAGCCAGATTTGGCCCACAGGCCACAGTTTGCAGAGACCCTTGGTGTAAAGTTGTCGCTCCTGCTTCATGTGAAACCATACTTAAAATGTTGATGAACCAGATTTCTAAGAAATTTGCTGGTAATTTTACTAAAATATTTTTCAAGGTATTATATTGAAACCCTGTTTCTGCATAATAGAACAAATATATTGCTTCCTAATACTTTACTCTTCCTTAAGAGATCTGGCTACCACTTGAGGTCAGGCCTCATGGGATTTGTGGGGGAGCCTGTTTTGCATGTTTAGGAATTGGACTTTTTTTTTTCCCCCCAGTGCATGTAAGGGGCGTTGTTATGCTCTGAGGAATTAATTCACTTCAGCCATCCTCAGAAGGGGACTGGTAAGCCAGAGCGCTGATTCACTAATTTAAACAGTAAAGTGTTCTAATAGCCATTTACTTGTGACATTCTTCTCTCAGGTGTGAAACTGAGATCAGAGGATTCCTTGGTAAAGACAGAATTAGGATTTCAGATTAATTCAAATGTCTACTACATCCATAGGAATTTGTGTCAAGCTAAGCTGAATAGTTGCAAGAGCTCATCATCACTGAGACAGTGCAGGAGATAATCAGTACCATCCTCACCCTCACAGGTTTGGGTTTATTCTCAGTGGACTAAAGATCCCAAGGAAAGAAAACCTGGAGCCCCACCAAACCTAGTTCTACCATCTAGCTGTACCTCCTGGCCTTCTGTCTCACGGTATATACATTTAAAAAAACAGTTGACTCACATGTTGCAGCCTACTTTGTCCCCACCGAGCACTATGAACACAAGATAACTTACATTCCAAGTTGAAGTAACTCTTGTTTTCTAGACTGTGAGCTTCCACATTTCTTTGCTGTTACCTAGGGTTTCCCAAGCTTCCCTGGTAAGAATCAATGATCATCTGGGATGCTTATGTGAGGAAGGAAGGCAAGAAAAGGCTATTTTTTCCCTCCATCTGTTGTGAAATCTCTGAGGACTGAGCCTGGGAATTCCAGGTGATTCTTTGGGATATACTGATTTAGGATTGCAATAACCAGGTAAGGCCATTTTAATTTCATTATAATTCAATCTCGATCAGATCACTGTGACAACTGCATTCAAAGCCATATATTTTGTACCCACCAACACATCGGAATCACATTTAGGACTAAGTGAGCTCATTAACATCACCCGATCTTCAAACCCTTTCCAACCTGCGGGGTCATTCTCCCCCGGCAGCCCCACACGACAGCACTGTGGGTCTCTGAGAAGTGACAGCTGGCATAGCCGCCGCTCCACTCAAGTGACGGTTTGGCCTCCTTTCCTTGCCGGGCAACAGAAGCCGAGGCGTCATCTCAGGAACAGAGGGCTTGGCGGTACAATGTTTTTGAAAACCTCAAGCTGTTCCATCTTTTTCATTTTGCAGAAGAGGAAACTTGAGTTTCAGAGGCTGTGACCCGCCAAAGGCCACACAGACTATTTTCTTGCTAAGATTTGGAACATACTGCACTATTTCTAGGGTAACTTGACAAATCACCTGCGGCAGGTCACTTGGGCACATGTGCAGAAGCCAAGATGGGCACAGAGGTCTCCAGTAGAAACCAGGGAGTTGTACTTTAAAAAAGTGTTTCGGGAGCTGTGAAGCAAATACAGGGCCTTTCTATCTCTACAGTTACTCAGGCAGATGGCCCCCCTCCCCTCCTTGTCATGTTCCACTCACCAGGTTTGTGGCCTTGATTAACTTACTTAGCTCCATCTGTATGTAACTTACGTAGTCTCGTATGCATAAAATAGGGACTCTATTAGTATCTCCCTCAGTGGAGGTGTGAAGATGAAATAAGGCAACGCATGTAAAGTGCCTAGAAGTACCTGGCTCATAGGATGCCCTCAATACATTTTAGCTATTACTGCTACATCCCACAGGACATGAACACAGGTTATTAGCATCATCCTAGTGCTGGTTCATGGATGACACCCTTGGCTGGGACGAGAGCACCATCCTTCCAAACCAGAGTTCGGCAAACTATGGCCTGCAGGCCAAATCCGGCCCACTGCCTAGTTTTGTAAATAAAACTTTATTGGAACATAGTCACACGCATTTGTATTTGTATTGTCTATGGCTGCTTTTGCACTGTGATGGCCGAGCAGTTGTGACAGAGACCATTTTGGCCCATAAAGCCTAAAATATTTACCATCTGGCCCCTTACGGAAAGTTTGCAGGGCCCTGTAGTAAACCAAGAGTTCTTGTTCCCAGCAGTGACGGTATACAGTTATAGTATACAGGTCTACACGCCAGTGATCTCGGCCTCTCTCAGTATCATTCCCTTTAACCCATTTGCAGAATCGATGCGTCCTGCCCGCAGCTGTCAGCTCTACTGCAGTGGGGCTCCCAAATCCTCAAGAGTGGTGGTGGTGGTGGGGGAAGGGGGACGCGTGCGCGCGCACACACACACACACGCACACACACACATACACTTCTACCTGAGAATACAGTGAGGGTTCCACTGAGCCTGAAACTGTCTGCCACATACACACTTTGAGATTTGCACACTGGGGAAAGAAAGCAGGTATCACACTGGTCATCTGTGTTAGGAGAGGCTAGACTTTACTGCGGCCCAGTGGAGCAGAGAACTCACAGAGCTAATAACCTGGCGTCTCCACGCTCAGTGGTTACCCTCAGCAGGCAGTCAGAACCACCAGAGCCTGATAAAGGACGAGGGCTGTGAGCCCTCAGCAATGAGGGTGTGAGCATGGCACAGAACCGGCAACTCAGCACAGCTGAAGTATTGGCCGAGATTGAGGAAACTCTAGAAAGGGTGGGAGCGGAGATAAGAAATCGTTATGGCCTTGTGAGCAACCCCAGCGATGGGGACTAGCGAGTTCCACTAACCCTCCTGAATTATACTCTCTAGAGATGCTAGCTGGCCTCCCTCAAAAAGTCCAGAGTGGACTTAATGTGGGCATGAGTGGATCTGAGTGGTGCCAAGGGTGGATGAAGGAGATGCGTTTGGTGCTCTGTGGCCCATCTCCTCTGAACCTCTGATTTCGGCGGCAGCTGTGGTGGCCAGTTCCGTGTGAGCTCGGATCATGTTGACAGCCTCCCACCTCAAGCCTGCACCACAGATCTCTTCGCTTTGCTGCTGTGAGGTCCTCCAAAGCTGAAAGAACCTGCTTGGCCCGAGTGCAAGCATAGCCTGAAAGTGTGGGGGTGTCTAGCCCTCCACCAACAGGGACCGGGGCCGACGGATGAAATCGTGGCCGTACGTTCTTCAGACAGGGAATTATGGGAGGCATTCTGTACTGTCCTCAGAGGTGGAACTGAGCTCCCGTTGCCTCCAGAGGCACCTTCCATAACACACCTGTATACTGGCATTTCCTCCTTTCCTGGTTCACTCTCCATCTGCTCCAGTTGCCTAGTATCACCTCCCAAATAAACTATCAGGACTCAAGTCCTTGTTTTGGCTTTTCTTTTAGGACACTGAAACACATTCCCATTAATACCAGAAACAAAATAAGCATGTCTACTCTCACTGTTACTCTCCAACACAGTACTGTCCTTACTTACAAATGAGCTCCTCTTCTTCCCAGAAAACGCAAAGAACCAATACAGAATCTACTAGAGTTAGTAAAGGAGTTCAACACGTGTGATATATGTAAGATTAATTTATAGAACATTTGTAATTTCCCTTTATTTCAGCAATAACCAACTAGAAAATATAATAGATTCTGTTCATAGTACCAATAAAACTATATTAAAAATGCATAAGAGGGGGTGGGGGGATGGGTTAGCCCGGTGATGGGTATTAAGGAGGGCACGTACTGAATGGAGCACTCACTGGGTGTTATATGCAAACAATGAATCAAGGAACACTACATCAAAAACTAATGATGTAATGTATGGTGACTAACATCATAAAATAAAAAATAAAATACAAGTAAAATCTAAAAAAAAAAAAAGAGCAGGAAGGGTAAAATGAAGGGGGGGAAATCGGAGGGGGAGACGAACCATGAGAGACTATGGACTCTGAGAAACAAACTGAGGGTTCTAGAGGGGAGGGGGATGGGGGGATGGGCTAGCCCAGTGATGGGTATTAAAGAGGGCACGTACTGAATGGAGCACTGGGTGTTATATGCAAACAATGAATCATGGAACACTACATCAAAAACTAATGATGTACTGTATGGTGATTAACATAACATTAAAAAAATAATAAAAAAATGCATAAATCTTTAAGAAATTTTAAGAAACACTTAAAGGACATTAAGGAAGTTCTGAATAAAGGAAGAATTGTTTCTGATAGTGTTAAGATGTCAGTTCTCCCTAAACTCATCAGTAAATTCAATGCAATTCCAATAAAATTCCGGTGGGACCTTTTTCTCTCTGTCCACTCCTGCCCCCATAGGAACCCACCAAACTTGTTTGGACACTTGCATGGAAAAATAAAGTTTCACAAAAATAGCATAGTCAATTTAGGGAAAAAAAAGAAGACCTTACCACATATGAACACGTACTCTAAATTCATAATAGAAGTTGTGCAAGAACATTCATAGATCAGTATGTAAAAGGCTAAAGAGTTAAAAAAAAAACAGACATTTATACATGAAACAGAAATGACATCATGAACTAATAAGGTAAAGTAACTTATTTAATAGAGAATATTGGCAAAACTGGCTGACTGTATGGAGAAAATATCTGTGGGCCTTATCCAAGGTTACTCTTACACAAAGTATTAAATGTGAAAGGTAAAAACTGTAAGTTTAATAAATAAAATTTTTGACCGTACAAAGGTCTCAAAACCCCCAACACAATAAGGCAAAACAAATTGATGGATTCTTTTATATAAAAACCAAGGAAATATTGACAAAGTTATCAGTTGGATGAGAGATACTAACAAGAGTCCAAACTGATAAGGGATTAATACTTAAACCATACAAGGAACTTGATTTGTTGATTCACAAATCAACAAAAAAGGCCATGACCCAGTAGAAAAATAAGCAATGAACAAAAACATACGTGTTCCCAGTAGATCAAAGTGTAAGATTTTAAAGGTTTGAATAGGCAGCTTACCAAAAGGGAAACCCAAATGTTAAACAATTATGTGAGGGGCTGTCCAACCTTAGGAATTAGGAATCAGAGAAATGCAAAATAAGATGAAACCTTACTTTCAAGCCGTGCCATTAACAAAAAGTAGGCAGCTGCATGGTACTGATGCTGGTGAGGGTCTGCATAAAACTGGTAATCTCACGCAAGTAGTGGAACTGTAGACTGGTGCAGTCATTCCGGAGGGCAATCTGACAGTTCTGAATAAAACTAAATATTCATAGGGGCACCTGGGTGGCTCAGTCGGTTAAATGTCCAACTCTTGATTTCGGCTCGGGTCATGAACTCAGGGTCCTGGGATCAAGCCCCACATTGGGCTCAGTGCGGAGTCTGCTTGAGATTCTCTCTCTCCTTCTCTCTCTGCCCCTCCCCCCTGCTCACACACTCTCTCTGTAAAATAAAGAAAGAAAATTAAAAAAATTTAAATATTTATAAACCTGGCATTCAGCACTCCAACTCCTGTTATATACCCATGGAGGAACTCAGGAAAAGCCAATGAGGGAATTATGTTCAAAGATTTTGAGATAACAGAACTATGAGAGCCAACTCTTCACTATAGAAAGCCGTAAGTAAAATGTGGGGGTTGCACAGTAGGAAACACTACACAGTCCTCAGAATCACCTCCTAGAGGTACATACTGCAGACGAAGTAATGTGTCAGTCATACTGTTCTTTGGACATAAAAAAAGAAGATGCCTTTTTCAAAGTCTAAGCCTTTACTAATGAGTCTCATGATACAAATTACCCAGCTGCTTCTCCTTAGGAAATAGACAACTATAACATCTGTTACTATCCCAAGTCTTTATTGAGAAGTAAAGTGCTCAATATTACACATTAATGAAATTCTCGATTGTCGAGAGCCTTGCATATGTAACATCTTCTTCATAATATAAATATAGAGGGGAAGATGACAGGACAGGGATGACAACGGAGTTCTCCATGACTAAAGAGAAAAAAAATCTGTAACTTAAGGGTAAAAAGAAAGAATGTTGTATAGTCTTACAGGTGGAATGAGAAACAGTATAATAATAAGTATACAAAAAGACTTTCTAGTGACCATAATTGATATATGGCACGTGGTCAATACACATGGATACCACATAATGGCTGCACTTCAAATTGAAGTTTGTTTACATGTAACAACACGGTACACAAACATAAATACACAATCAATATCCCTGGAATGCAAACTGTAGTACCTAGTAATAAAGAACTTTGTGTAGCATATTCAAAAGAAAGTAAAGATGGAAAGAAAGCTGTGAGAAATATTGTGAAAGAAACCCAATGTGTATCACTTCTATAGAAGCCAGCTTAAAAAGTTCGTTTGCTCGTGTTTTCATTGAAGATTTGACTGACATGTTCTACCAATTACATGAACAACATGTGAATTCAGAACAAGGTACTAAAACACAGGCCTCTCTTCTATTGTTCTCCGAGTCGGAGTTAACTCACCAACACTGCATTCTCCCTTGCTCGTCCCATTAGCTCTCAAAAGGTTACCTCATTCAACACTTTTGAAAAATAAGATCTTTATTTTTTATTGAGAAATAGACTTCTTCTCCATAAATTTGGTGAGACCCTCTCCTAAAAAAAAAAACCTGCTGCAAATTCAAACTTTGGCTGATACATTCTGATAATGAATTTTCAATACCAGAAACTCCTTTTGATTAAACTGAGCTCCATTTAGATTATAAATTCTAGTTTTGAAATGCAGGATCAAGAGTATCTGAGTTCTCAGGGTGCCTGGGAGGCTCAGTTGGTTAAGTCTCCAACTCTTGATTTCAGCTCAGGCCATGATCTCAGGGTCAAGAGATGGAGCCTCATGTTGGACTCTGTGCTGAGCATGGAGCCTGCTTAAGGTTGTCTCTCTCCCTCTCCTCTGTCCCTCCCTCTCTCTCATTAAAAAAAAAAAAAAAGAGTATTTGAGTTCTATATCCTCAAAACAGCATAAAACTCAAACTTTAGTCTTACAATATTTATATATGAATTTCAAAACTTTAAATTCTTGTGTAAAATGAACATATTTGCTGAGTTAAAACCTTCAGTACATACTTAAAACATTAATAAGTTGGCCTTCCCAGATTAGTTACAACATTAAAATCAGTTGCAAATAAGTTGGGCTACCTGGGAAGAGAATATATGGACAAATCTTTATACTAAACTAATTATCAGAGTAAGTCCATCTTAGTGATAGGGCTCCTTCCAATTTTCCCATGTTATGGTTGGAGATGACATTTTAACCCACAATCAATCTTCGGTGGCTTTATGCAGCTCAGAGCAAAAATAGTGTGAACTAAGTGAAACAGCTATTCCCACAGACATTAGATATGATACAATAACCAAAAAAAAAAAGCACAGTATCCAACTTTTATCTTAACCATTCATACAAATTCTAGCATAATGACTACATACCCATTCTATGGTTTGGAGTTCTTTTCCAGCTCATCTTTTAGAAAAGTTTACCCCGGGAAGGTAGTTGAAACAAAAGGCTCCTTTCTTAAAAGAAAGCTATGTATTACGTCCATGAGCTCAGCCTGCGTGGGAAGGAATGCCCCTACTTTCCCTTCACATACTGGGCAAAAATGCCAATACTGATTTTCGTGATTGGAAATAAAACTCAGAAGCCTTTTGATGCTTCTCTCCTCACTTTAAAGGTTACTTCATTGTCAACTGAGAAGACTCATCCATGGTAGCAAGTGGGCATACCACTCCATATACTTTACAAAGACTTTTTTTCTAGACTCAATATTTACACCTAGATTTCTTACATGAGAAAAAAAAAATCTTCTTTGATCCATGGGCAAGGTTTATCTAAAATAAATTAAAGTGCAGAAGACTTAACGGCTGGTCACGAAGACCAGCATCCTACGGTGGTCAGGGCATATAAAGTGTACCTGCCCTGGCAATGCAGGACGTCAGCCCCTTTTTCGCCGGTTAGGAACACATACTAGCACATGTCCTAGACGTGGATATTGGAACTCCCGTTTGCACCTGCACCTTCTATTCCTTCTGTAGACTGGGAGGAAGAAGGGCGGGAGCTTCTGGTGCGAGCTTGACCATTCAGTCCCACGGGTGTGCCTAGACCGTGACTTGTTTGGGAAGCTGCATCATCGGATTCGCAGCGCCCCAGCTCCTCCCGAACTAGCCGTTCCATCTGCTCCCTGTGGATTTCGCTGTCACGACCCAGTCTTTCGTCCTAATAAAGGAAAAAGAGACCACGATGTTGGGGGTCGGGCGAGGCATACTTCTGTACTTAGAAGTTGCCCGAGGAAATGAAGGGGCCAAATTATCTGTCATTAAGTGACGCTGGCGATTTATAGCGTATACAGCAATTCTCTGAGCTACTGGAGTAACTTTTTTGCTTAATTGTACCATTCAGTGAAGGCAGAAGCATCAGTGCTTGCAGTATTAAGTAACACCTCCAGATTATCATCTGACAGCACGGATCTGCAGTTACACGGACATTTTCAAAAAACGTCTCAGATTCAAGGTTATAAAATATGACTACCCTGATACTTTACTGAGTCAGTGTTTCTGTGTCAGATGACCACTTACCTCCGCCACCCCATCCAGCAGCCTGCCCAACACTTCCCTTCTCTTCAGTTTGGCCCGCTCCATGATCTCCAGCTTCACAATCACAGCGTCAATCTTGGACACGATGCTGCCGATGGAGTGCTCCATGCGGTCCACTCGTCTCACCAGCCTGTTGGAAACCGCAGGTGAGAGGGGTCAAAGCCACCTTGTGCAGTTGGTTGCCTTTTCAGCTCAGGTGGCTTTTCAAATGGAAGTGCTAAGATTTTTTTTCTTAAACAATATGATAATCTGAAACACATTCTAAGTAGTTTCAAACTTCAGCGATAAACTCATATATTGCTGATGGGAACGCTAACTGGCACAACTTCTCTGCAAGTCAACATTGTATTACAAGTCTTAAAAACATACACTTAGCTTTTATTCAGATATTCCATTTTTTGAAAAATTTCTAAAGGAAATATGTATATGTGTGAATTTTTGGGCTACCAGCATACTCATTAGAGTTCTGCTTATTAATAGCAGTTCATTGAAAAATGGTTACAGGGCACCTGGGTGGCTCAGTCGTTAAGCGTCTGCCTTTGGCTCAGGTCATGATCCCAGGGTCCTGGGATCGAGCCCCACATCGGGCTCCTTGCTCGGCGGGAAGCCTGCTTCTCCCTCTCCCACTCCCCCTGCTTGTATTCCCTCTCTCGCTGTGTCTCTCCCTGTCAAATAAATAAATAAAATACTAAAAAAAAAAAAAAAAAAAAAAAAAGGTTACATTAGGGGTGCCTGGGTGGCTCAGTTGGTTAAGCAGACGCCTCGGACTCAGGTCATGATCTTGGGGTCCTGGGGTCAAGCCCCGCATTGGGCTCCTTGTTCAGTGGGGAGCCTGCTTCTCCTTCTCCCTCTGCCCCTCCCCCCACCTGTGCTCTCTTTCTCTTGCTCTCTCAAATAAATGAATCTTTAAAAAAAAAAGAAAAATGGTTATTTTTATAATTAACAGAAAATTATTCAAATATGTTACTGTTCATTTATATAATGGAATTCCAAGGAGACACCAGAAATTATATGGTGATGGAATATTTAATGAAATAGTAATGTTCACAATATATTAAGTAAATAAAGTAGTTAGAAAACACTGTTCACTAATGAGTGAATATTTTGAATAAAAAATTATGTAAAAGCTTTAAAAACATAGAAATAGGAGACAACCTCTGGAATGGTGGTTTGAGGGCTCTGTAGGCACTCTCCCCAGAGAAACAACCATAACTGTTAAAAATTAATTAAAATTTTTTTTCAAAATTCTGTAAATCTTTTTTTTTTTTCAAAGATTTTATTTATATATTTGACAGAGAGAGAGAGAGACAGCACAAGCAGGGGGAGCAGCAGGGAGAGGGAGAAGCAGGCTCCCCTCTGAGCAGGGAGCCCGATGCGGGGCTCAATCTCAGGACCCTGGGACCATGACCTGAGCTGAAGGCAGATGTTTAACCAACTGAGCCAGCCAGGCACCCCAATTCTGTAAATCTTCTTAAGAGTATACAGCAAATGAAGAAGCATTTACTTAAGAAAATTCACTGGATTTTAGTAAGAAGAGTGAGAGTCTATGACATGTGAGCTATGGTCTGCTCCCTCTCTGTCTCCCCCAGCTCAGTGTAACAGAAGGGTCACTCCAGTTGGGTTTGGCAATGGACACAGGGCCCCCACTCCCTCCAGCTCCCAGTGGGGGCCTATGGTATCTCCCAGGGAGGGGCGGGCTGCTGCATTTCTCATCTCTATATCTCCACCTCCAAATCCATGTTGCAGAGGATCTAATCCAGGCAAGAGTGGCTGGGAGGGATGATGTCTTCTTCCACCCAACTACCAACTGTAGGCTGGAGTTTCCATGCCAGGAGAGGAAAACTGAGAAGACTGAAGGCTGCCCTCCTAGCCCAGTGGCTTATTCATGAAACAGGGGTATCACTTGGGGAAGCAGACCACTGTCCCTGACCCTAGCTCTGAAGGAGTGGCACAGAGGTTTTGGCCGGGAGGAGAGTTAGGCCATAACACAGAGAGCTCCAAGGCTTCCCCCAAGAGAACTGGCTTTATTTGGAACAAAGTGCTAAGCCTGAGTGCTCCTCAGAACAAACGGGGATTGTGGTGATAAGCCGTTAAGACGAGGTTGGTCACCTCATGAGATAAAAAAGATAAATTGTTTACCGGCTAGTTTATCAGAAAGAACCAGGAAGAGACAGCTAAGAAGACTGCTAAAGACTGGTTCAAAAACTACCCCCGCAAAGGGGCCTGAATTGAATTGGATCAGAGTGTGGAACAGTTTATATCCCAAGGCATTACTGAAAACAACAGACCCATCAGCCAACAATTAGTGGAAGCCAAGAGGTGGAAGTAATATCAACAGAGGCGGAAGGCTTCCCAAAGAGATCAGGGAAAGACAGTGAGAGCCCTGCTAAGAGCACTATCTTTTCAAAGTGACTGTGGTGGTCATGTAGTCACGTGGTCAGACCTGTGGCCTCTGAGAAGCAGCATCAGAGGCTTCACAATGTGGGGGAAACAGACTTCATTAAAAAACAAGCATGCAAACAGCAAACAGAACAAGCCTGGGGGGGTAGGGGAGGAAGAAAATTAGTATTCTAAATTGCTATAATATTTATTTAATATCTCCAGTTTTCAATAAAAAAAAACGAGACATGCAAAAACACCACAAAAAAATGTGACCCATAATACATAGAGAAAAAGGAGGCAACAGAAACTGCCTTTGAGGGGGCCCAGATAAATTTAATAGACAAAAAGCTCAAAGTAGCTATTATAAATATATTCAAAGAACTAAAGGAAATCAGGTTTCAAAAGATATAGGACAGTATGTATGATGACACTGTTTCATCAAATAGAGAATATCAATAAAGAGATGCAGATTATTTCAAAGAACCTAAGAGAAATTCTGGAGTTGGAAAGTACAATAAATGAAAGGAAAAAGTCACTAACAGGGTCTCGACAGTAGATTTGAGCTGGCAGGAGAAAGAATCAGCACACTTGAAGATAGATGACAGAAACTATGCAATCTGAAGAGCAGAGAGAAAAAAGAGTGAAGAAAGATGTGGGATACCAGTAAGCACCCCAACATATTTAGGATAGGAGTCCCAGAAGGAAAGGAGAGAAAGCAGCAAAAAAAATATTTGAGGACATAATAGTTGAAAACTTCCTAAATTTGATGAAAATATTATATATCCCAGCAGCTTAATGAACTCCAGCTAGGATAACTGCAAAGAAATCCACATCCAGACAGATCACGGTCAAAATACTGAAAGACAAAGACAAAGAAAATATCTTGCAAGCAGCAAGAGAAAAGTGACCCATCACATACAAGGGAACTTCAGTAAGATTAACAGCTATCTTCTCATCAGAAATAGTGGAGACAAGAAAAAAATGAAGGAAAAATAAAAATATGCCTAGATAAAGAAAAACAGGGAATTCAAGCTAGTGGGCCTGCTTTATTTTTTATTTTTATTGTTAAAGATTTTATTTATTTATTTGAGAGAGAGAGAGAGCATGCAGAGGCTGGGGGGAGGGGTGGAGGGAGAGAGAGATGCAGACTCCCTGCTGAGCAGGGAGCCTGACGCGGGGCTTGATCCGAGAACACTGAGATCATGACCTGAGCTGAAGGCAGACGCCTAACCGACTGAGCCACCCAGGTGCCCCAGCAGGCCTGCTTCTATTAGAAGAGATACTAAAGGAAGTTCTTCAGGCTGAAAGCAAGTGATCCAGATAGTAATTGGAATCCACATGAAAAAACAAATAGCACTGGAACATGTTATTATGTAACTGCAAAAGACAATACAAATGCATATACCTTTTTCTTTTTTTCTCTTCACTGATATGAAAAGCAACTGTGTAAGACCATATGTACACAATTGTATTGTTGGGCCTATAACACATAGAAATGTAGTAATATATTTGACAATAGCAGGACAAAGGAGGTGGGTAAGATCAAAGTTGTATTGGAATACGGAAATGACACCAGATGGTAACTTGAATCCACAGGAACAAATGAGAAGCAGAAATGGTAAGAAAAAGAATAAGCTAAATTCTATAAATATATACTTTCTCTTCTTTCTTGTCTCGGTTCTTTTAAGAGACAAAATTATTGAAGTGATCATTATAATATTGTGATACTGGATTTGTAACATATATAATAATGGCACAAAAAGGGGAGGAGTTAACAGTTATATAGGAATGATATTTCTGTATCTCCTTGGATTAAGTTAATATGAATCTGAGGTAGATTCTGATAAATTGATTTGTATATGTTAAGTCCTAGAGCAACCACTAAAAACATAACTGAAAAATGTAATGAAAAAAACTATTAAAGGAATTAAAATGTTACATTAGAAAATAGCCATTTTATTTTTTTTAAAGATTTTATTTATTTATTTGACAGAGAGAGACACAGCAAGAGAGGGAACACCAGCAGGGGGAGTGGGCTTCCGCTGAGCAGGGAGCCTGATGTGGGGCCCAATCCCAAGACCCTGGGAGCCAAAGGCAGACGCTTAACGACTAAGCCACCCAGGCGCCCTGAAAGTATCCATTTTATGTAAAAGAAAGCAATAAGGGAGAAAAAGAGGAAAAAAAGACATGAGACCTATAGAAAATGAAAAATAAAATGGTAGATGTAAGTCCAACTATATCAATGATAACATTAAATGTAAATGAAGTAAACATTCTAATCAAAGGCAGAGACTATCAGACTGGATAAAAAGACCAGATCCTACTAAATGCTGTCTACAGGTGACACACTTGAGATTCAAGGATACAAACAGGTTGGAAATGAAAGAATGGAAAAAGATGCATCATGCAAAAAGAAACAATAAAAACGTTGGAGTTGCTATAGTAATATCAGACAAAAGAAGACTTTAAAACAAAAAAAAATCTTACCAGAGATAAAGTAGGACATTTTATAATGAAAACAGGGTCAATCTATTAGAAAGATGTACCAATTATAAACATATATACACCTAGCAGCAGAGTGCCAAAATACACAAAGCAAAACCTTACAGAAAGGAAGGAACAGGCAATTTAATAATAATAGTTGGAGACTTTAATACCCCACTCCCAAAAGCAGATAGAACAAATAGGCAAGACGGCAGGAAATAGATTTAAGTAACACTAGACCAGACCTAATAAATACCTATAGAACACTCCATTTAACAACAGCAGAACATATATTCTCCTCAGGTATATCTTAGGATATACCGTGTGCTAAGGCCATAAAAACATAAAAAAAAATAAACACATGTAAATGGAGATACAAACAGCAAAATGTTAATTGGCATTTTGGTTTAGTGGGAATGGGAGAGATCTTAATGTTTTGTTTTTATTTGCTGATTTTCCTATAAGGAATACAGTACTTTTATCAAAAGAAAAAAACACCATTAAAAGTTATAAAAAAAAAAAAGAATTGATGATTAGTAATGGAAAGGATCAAATTGTGAGAGGTAGGAGAAGTGGCTTGGTCTCATTTGAGCTCGTCAGCCCAAATTCTGCCAATTCCTTCATACTTACACTTGAAATTCTTCATAAGAAACCCCACTGGAGATGCTTCCCCTCCTTCTGGAGCTATGCCCACTGTCTTCATCATCATCCTCCTCAGAGTCATCCAGGCTTCGTGGGAAACTTCGGCTACTCATGGGACGTGGTAAAGAGCTGTGGTCCAGATCCAGGTCCTCCTGAAGAACATGGGGTCACTGAGTGAGGAGCAAGAACACCTAGTCCCCACAGAGCTTCACTGTGGGCTTGGGCAGATGGGAAATGGGCATGTACTGTTTAACACCATTCTGTGATTCCCACACTTCTAATTCATGGACTGGCAAATTTTCAAAACAAATTTTATTGACCAGCAAGGAATCGCTAACTTGTTTGGACAAGGAAGAACATTAAAAATAGAACAACAACAAAAAAAGTAAATGAAGAAATATATATCACCTTTTCATAAAAAAACACATTTAATAACTACAAAGTAGGAAGGATATAATCTTAGAAGAGATACAGCCTTGTGTAAGGTGATTTTACTCACTGTCTTCTTGTTCACATTTCACTATACCTGGTAAAGTTTCCCACCTACCGACACAGTTCTGTGGAGCAGTTTAGAGACCACTGTTCTATACTATCTCCTTATAGAAAAGGGATTTTTGTATAGAGTATTCACCTATATTCTCTGTACCTCAATTACCATGGATATTTTTTGGTTTGTTTAACCATTTATTTTTAAAGTTAATGTTAAAAGCTTTTAATTATCCTTTCTGATTATAAAAGACCATTTCATAGTAAGTATTCAAACAGAAAGCAGCTGCTAGTTTTGTTTTACTATAAATGTTAATTTATAGAGCAACTAACTTTATATCCCCTGAGAAATCTTTTCCCCACTCTCATGGACACTGTGAAGTGTGTAACTCCTAGGTTTCCCTTTTTAAGCTGATGACCAGAAAGCTTAGGGCCAAATTTGTAGCTCAGTCTTTAACAAGCATGTATATATTTTTATGGAATGCATTTTTAGCTTCATAGTCTAGTTTTATATTTCACTTTTGTTTTACCTCATTTGTTCATTTTGATTTTTTTACATTTATGCCAATATATATGTAATATATTTTTACATATTGTTGTTATATATCCTTTTTGGAATATGCTGGGTCCTACTACATAAATTGACGGAGACAGAGACAGAGAAAGAGGCAGAAAGACAGAGAGACTCTCAGTAATCCACTACTTAGCATGGTGTCTGAAACACAGTGAGGGCTGAATCAAATCTTGTTTTCCTACACTAGACCCACCCTCTCTTTTTCCAAGTCGTCTCTCATCTGCTGATGTTCATGTTCGGTCAGTTCTTGATCTCCATCTTGGTCATATTTTGTGAATATTGCCTCTATCTCTGCATCAGTATGGCCCTTCCTGAAATTATTGAGAGGTTACAGATGAAATCATTCATGTACATGGTCCAGTGCAAACACAGAGACATCAAGATGCAGGAAGAAAGGAGAAACTGCTGAATCATCCCTCCTCTTGGGATATGTTCCAGGAAGACACCTCCTCTGAAAAAATAGTGTCTCTCTGAGTACTCGGGCCAGAAATATCCTTATCACCAAGAACTTATCTTTATATAGGAATTTCCCAGGGCCTCAGAAAGTGTGATTCTTACCCTTTGAGATCTTGTCGAAGTTCATCAAAGTTTAACTTGCCTCCCCCTTGCCTCAGACTCTCAGAAATGTCATCCACAGCATTTTTTTTCAGTTTTAGTTTGACCAAGGCTTTATGGTAGCCCTGTTGAAAAGAAAAGATTGGGTTTAGTTTACTCTCTTTTTGCATGTGCTTTACCATCCATTTACACTAGTAACTACTAGTGTAGACCTTATTTTGCACGGTAGTGCAGGGCTGTCAAAATGACCTTGCAAGCCCGAACTGTGCAAGTGATGTTAATAATCAACAGGAAAAATTATGATTGCTCTGTGACCTTTAAAACATCTTATCAGGGGCGCCTGGCTGGCTCAGTCAGAAAAGCACGCGACTCTTGATCTCGAGGTCATGAGCTGGAGCCCCACATTAGGTGTAGGGATTACTTAAATAAACTTAAAAAAAAAAACAAAAACTTTTCATCAAAGCATTAAAAACTCCCTTGGTATCAGTTATAAATTTACAGGGAAATTAAAAAAAAAACAGTAAAATGAATATTTGTAAAAATTTTATCCAGAGTAGTTTGAATAGTGCTTCCCTTCTTCTTGTAGAACGGATATGGAGGACACCTCTTTTCTATGTCTTGAGGAATTCTGATAATCCTTTCTTTATATGGATCAGCTCCCAACATTTTATCCTTTTCCCTTCCAATGTTGTAAAATATCTCCAGAGTTCCTTGAATGTGACGTTGTTTGCCAGCGTCACTTCCTTGGAGACTGTCGGGACTTTCCATCACAACCACTACTCTCATTCATGTTGATAAACTTGCCTTCACTAAGTTCTTTGACTGCATATCTATCTTTCCACAGATATTCAAGATCTTGAAGGGTAGCAATGCCAACATTCCCATGGCCAGCTACCTATTCTAGAACTCTCTTACATTTGTTTTGAGCTTCACTTTCAGTGTTATCAGTCTTTGTTTCTTTGCTCGGCTTTCATCTTTGCTGGCCCATTCTCCCTTTCAGATATGCACTCTTGTAACACATCACGTGGGGGTTTCTCACAGGGAGAGAGAGAAGCAACACAACTACATGTTTTGTGTCTGCACTAAACAGCAGGTTGCTCCGTGACCTAGCCTAGTCTTTGTAAGAAGGGATGTTATCGCTCACTGGTTAGGATACACATCCGTTATTTATGTAACGATTTGTAGACTGAAGAGCTAGCAGTGTAGTTTCTATGTTATGCTATTACAGTTAATATACTGTGATAACTGAAATGTTCTGTGACAACTGGAAGTTTGTACTTTATACTATTATTCTCAGTCAAGATACTGTGACAACTGAAATAGGAACTGTGTGGAGAGGCTGGTGTTATTTAACATGAAATAATTGAAATCTGTGCATCTCAGAACCAAAGGGCAAAGTAAGGACTGCGTGTATACACCTTGGAGATGTGCTAACATGTAATAAACTGTTCTGCAAAATTCAGGATAACCCAAATCTTAAGGTCCCATCCAAGGGGTTTTGTTTTAAGAACTGGAAGTTCTCTGTTCGAACATGATTCACAGACAACACAGTCTTAGGACTTGAACCAACAGAAAAAGATCACACAGTCAAGGAGTCACGGGTATCTTAGTAAAATGATGTTAGGGAACAGGCTGTGTACTTTAGATGTAGTTATTTTTTGTTGCTTAAGTTTTATACTTTAAACCAAATAAAGAAGTCACATCGAGAAGAACAAAGCTACCCAACTTTCCTGTCCTGCCCTTCCATTTATTTAACAACTTCCTGAGAAGGTGCGTAAGTGAAAGTTCTCAGGCCCTTACTCTGTGGCCTTTTTCCTTTGACTATTTTAAAACTTCCTTGGAAGGTCAAAGATAAAGGGTGAACTACAAAATATTTGCTTCTAAAACTTTTTTAAAATTGTATTTGAGATAGAAAAAGTGGAAATGTCTTCATATTCTTCCCTTTCAGTTTATTCTGAACTCTGGATCTGCAAGTGGCAGCCAACTAGAGATGTCCTCAAAATAAGTAAAGGTAAAACCAGCAGCTCAGCTCTTAAGAGTCAAAAGAGATTGTGGAGAATTTAATTCTAGGGCATTAAATGATTTCCAGAATTTAAGTCCAGGCTAGCAGCATACCCATCTCTAGCTCTAAGACAGAGAACATTTAAATTATTCCTGAAATGTAGCAATCTACTCTTTACTTTACACCATGACAATGGATCAGTGTTGATGTGGAAATCTGGCTGAAGCAATGCTCACTTTATGTAGAAAGTAAAACAATTCTGAGAATTAGGGCTTGTCATACCTTTTTGATAAGATCTGAGAGTTCCATTTCAGCTTTCTGCTGGGCCAGATCAGATTTAACTTCAGAGTAAGTATCATTGATGATGGCCAAAAACATATTCTGTTTGTAAATCAAAGGAGAGTTGAGATTAAAGAAGAAACCTAAATATACTTCCTAAACATCAATCCGAAATTTGACATATGCATTTTTGTTCTTTTTTTTTTTTTTCAATGATCTGATTTCTTAAGAAGACATAAATTAATAGTTTTGCTACTATACTCTTTGGGAAAATTATTTTTTTCATTAAATCATGCCAAAGGAAAATGCAATATATTTTCTTATTTACAAACCATATATTGTGATATATTTTGCAAAAAGAGACAAGAATGAAATACAACAAAATATCGATGTATTTACCAATGGATGGTGGGATTATTTTATTTTATTATTTTTGTTTGTCTACACTTTTTTCATTTGACAGAAATTATTAGAAGTGTAGAACTCTACGTAGCTCTTCAACTTCAACAGTTAATACAGACAAGTGGAATTCTATGCTTCTTCCAAATATTGTTATACAATATTATTTGAGATTTACACAGCATATTTTGAAGAGTTGAAAAGATCTCTGCAAATGGGAATACAGTAGGCTTCATAGAAGATAGTCAAGAGAAGCTTAGTGAAAAAGACTTTGGAGTCAAGCACACTTGGGTTTCAGTCTTAGCACTGCCAAGACTATATTGTTTAAATGTTCTAATCTTTATTTTAAAATTTATTTGTTCTTACATTAACAAAATGGGAGAAATCATAGTTCCTCCCCTACAGATTTGTTGGAAGAATTAATGAGATAATCTATGTTAAGTGCTTAGGACAGGGCCTCAGGCATGGTAAGCGCTACATAATTTATAGCTATTATCATTCAGTAATGGTTAGTTCATTTTCCTAACTTTCTCCTCCCCAAGATAATGGTTTGTATTTCCAACACCTGTTTCCCACAGGTTTTTTTTTTTTTTAAAGATTTTACTTATTTATTTGACACAGAGAGACACAGTGAGAGAGGGAACACAAACAGGGGGGGTGGGAGAGGGAGAAGCAGGCTTCCCGCCGAGCAGGGAGCCCGATGCGGGGCTCGATCCCAGGACCCTGGGATCACGACCTGAGTTGAAGGCAGACGCTTAACGACTGAGCCACCCAGGCGCCCCCCCTCCCACAGGTTTTCTTGAAACGCCACACCCAACTGATCAGGTCCTTCCTTAACACACTCTTTCTTCACTTTTCCTTTCTGGCATATAGCTCTGGTTTGTGACTACAGTTATGTATTTTTTTTTTTTTAAGATTTTATTTATTTACTTGAGAGAGAGACAGAGAAAGCAACAGAGAGCATAAACGGGGAGGAGAGGGAGAAGCTGGCTCCCCGCTGAGCAGGGAGCCCCATACGGGGCTGGATCCCAGGACCCTGGGATCATGACCTGAGCCAAAGGCAGACGCTTAACCGACTGAGCTACCCAGGCGCCCCCAGAGTTATGTATTTCATTATGTCTGTTTTCCCCACAAGTTTGTGGAATCTCCCTGAGGGCAGGGCTGGTCTGTACCCCCAGTACCTAGCACCTTGCCTGGAATATAGTGGCTCAGCAAATATTTATTGAATGATTGGGGAATGAACAAAAAGAGAGCTCTACTATTTTAGTGGCTATTAAATTGCTACAAATTAAGGAGGAATACTATTTAAGATTCTGTAGCAGAAATGAGAATAAAATATAAAATGCATGTAAGTTCCTGGCTTAATGCTCAAATCCAAGGGCAGCTGGAGTAACATCTCCCACTTTCTCCCTCCCAACCCAGGCAATTACTGTTGTCTTTTTAAGTTTCCAAATGGCTGGTAGCTAACGCCTGCAAATATGAGTAAGTTAAAACAAAAATATCTTCATCTTCACAAGCAATAATTCACTCAAATATTACTCTTGACATCCTGGATCTAGCTTGCTTTGTCAGTTCCATTTTTTTTTTTTTTTTAAAGAAAAGAAGAGAAAGAGGAATGAAAAGTCATGCTAGCAAGTGATCACAAAAGTGCTGACATCTGTGTTAAAAAAGCATGTAAACATGTAAGCATTCTACTTTTTCGGCAAAGCACTATTTTAGGTGACTTTATAAATTTGCATGTGAACTAATTTTTTTTTTTACATTGAATAGACACATATATATGGATTAATGAAAGACCATGGAAAAGGTATTTGGTGAAGACTTAAAACTGAATCAGTGAGAGGTAAAATAAAATGTCTTCTGGTATCTACAGTTATTCCTGGGTCTTTTAAAAAATAAAGGAAGATGGTGATTTTATGATGGTGACTTATGAAGTTTAAATCACCTCACTATAAGCAAAAGTGTACATACCAAAAGAATGAAGAACATAAAGAACACAAATGTAGTAAAATAAATTGGTCCCAAAACTCGATTAGCTTCCTCAATCTCTGCGAAGTTGATATCACCCAAAATGATACGAAATTGAGTGAAACTATAAAACAAAACAAAACAAAATACCATAATACAAAAACAAAGAATCTCCAGCATTGATGTAACATTCCTTAAAGATGATTTCATACTTTTGGACCTTCTTATCAGTACAGATAGCTGCCAAATAACAGAAAACTGTCAATCCCTTTGGAAAATTCTTGCTACTTATATGACCAATTGAAGCCTCTGGAATAAAAATAATATGCTTTCATGCTAAATATGTTATTTCCACTCGGTTAAAAAGAAAATATAGTAATATTATTAGATGACATAAAGCAATTAGCTATAAGAATTTAACACATAATCTGGCTAAAACATGGTTAACTCTAAACTTCACACAGTCACCCTCTTAAAAAACCTCTTAAAAAAGACTTAGCCAAACTTGTATGCATTCAAAGATCCCGTATCCTCACATGCACTCAGAGTGGTGTTGAGTGGCCGTGTGTTGCCAACGCTGGGTCTTAATCAGTAAAATCATTTCCGTTCCTGACTTCCAACAAACAGTGACATTAATCAGCTGTCCTTCAGTACAAAGCCTTTTTAACTTCTATTATCATAATTCTCTTCTTTCCTAACTAACTCCTTTCTCAATGGCATGGAAATCTCAATACCGGTTATTTTTTTTTTTAGTCTTCATATCATATTTGAGAACTTTGGAAAAGACTGAAAATTCCTGTGCTGATTTGAGTTTCTCTTAGAATATTAGAAATACTATTTTTTTCTTAGAAAAAAACTACAAGTTTAAAACATGTGGCAACAATATTGAATAAGAATGCAAATATAGGCAAATGTCTCTTAGAAGCTGCCATCTGCATTGAGTGCTGAGAAGCCCTCTGCCTTTGTAACAGTATTGCTTTCCTACAGCTGTTCTACTATGTCTCATTACTCTAGAGCTGCTGTCTTAAGCTTATCAGCATTAAGCATTGCCCTCTTTGCATCAGTGGGTCATCGCTTCTGGGAAAGATAATTAATTCTTATTTTTAAATAACTATTTGAAAATACTTGTTGATGAAATAGCAACTGTGAAGATTTCTTTATCCTTCAGAAGGCAGTGACATCTCTAATTAAATTTTTCTTTTTAATTTCATATATACTTACATACACTCTTGGAAAGTACTGAAGTCATCAACTTGAGTGCCAAAGACGAGGTAGGCCAACTGAGCATATGCTAAGAAAATAATGAAGAACATAATTGCAAAGCCAAAGAGGTCTTTGGCACACCGAGACATGGTTGTGGAGAGCTGACTCATGGTCCTGTTAAAGTTGATGAATTTGAAGAGCTGTAACAGAAGGAAGATATCAACAGATGAATGGGTGAACAAAATGTGGTAGATACGTACAATGAAATGTTATCCAGCCTTACCAAGGAATGAAATTTTGATATAGGCCAAAACATGGATGAACCCTGGAAACATTATGCTAAGTGAAATAAGCCAGACACACACACAAAAAACAACTATTATATGATTGCACTAACATGGAGTAGCTAGACTATGGAAATTCATTGAGATAGACGAGGTTACCAGGGCCTGGGGTGAGGGGGGAATTTGGAGTTAGTGTTTACTGGATACAGAGTTCAGGTGGATTGATGAAAAAGTTCTGGAAATACATATGGTGATTGTTGGACAACAATGTGAATGCAATTAATGTCACTGACTTGTACACTTAAAAATAGTGAAAGTTATAAATTTTATGTTACATGTATTTTACAACAACATTTTTGGAAGAGAGAGAATAATGACTTGCTTTTTCCCCTAAACCCAGCAACTTCTCTTTTCTCATTCAAAGAGTATTTGTTGAGTGCCCACCATGGGCCAGGCCCTGTTCTTGGAGCTGGGAACAGCAGAGAACAGAACAAAGCTCCTGTTCTGATGTTGCTAAAATTTTACGTGATGGTTGCAATATAGTAAAAACAGGTTTAAATCATAATTAAGAGGATTAGGGATATTCTTCCCCCTAAGAAAGATTAAAAGAGGGGGGGGGAAAAAGCCACAAATGAAAACTAGTGAAGAAAAACAAAAAAAACCCCTCCAGGAGATACTTACTGTATGTTATTAACTGTCATTCATTATTTAGCGACTATGTGCCAGGCATTATGGGAAGGGCTATGTATACTGACTCAGATCTTTGCAATGAGATTGAAATACTGGTATCCTGCCCTCAGGAGGCAGCCAGGGCTCAGAGCCAGCAGCTGAACTCAGCTTTGTCTGACAGCAAAGCCATACCGAACATTTCTATAGGCAACACTAAGGACGGCTGTTCAGGTTGCTCATCCCAGCCCCGAGGCATGACAAGCTGCATAGCTCTAGCTCAAAGTCCCGATGGAAAACCATTAGGGGGATACATCAGAAGCCAAGTCGCAGTCCCTGCCCTAAAGAACTTTAATGGCAGTCTAAGTTTCCGAAGCAGAATAGTTACAAGCAAAACACTAAATAAAACACTCAGCCTGAGGCACAAATTGAAAGGAAATCTCTAGAATTTACTCTTATACACTGTTTTGGGCCACAATAAACATTTTTTGAAGGTTGTTGTAATCACATTACTTAATTCCTATTGGATTTGGATTATTTATTACTATTTTATGATAAAGGTTTGGTGTGTGAGTGGTGGTTTTTCCTGAACAAGCATGTAACTAAATAAATAGCAAGACAGATACAGGATGAGGCCTACACCCTCCGATAAATCTCAGGCCTTCCAGGTGTGAGTACCAATTCAGGAAAAAAAATAACTGTTGGTGAGGAGCTTCTAGAAGAGTGCTGTTTAATAGAACCTTCCGTGACGAAGGAAATGTTCTTTATTTCCACCGTCCAGTACAGTAGTCATCAGCCACATACAGACACTGAGGCCTTAAAATGTGGCTAGAGGGACAGAGAAACTGAATGTTCAATGGTATATAATTTGATTAATTAAAATTTCCATTTCAATAGCCACTTGAGGCTGGTAGCTACCATCTGGAGAGCAGAGTGACATGCGGGCAGCTGCCTCATTATTACTACAATTTCCTGCATCTCCAGAATTGAGGCTCATTTGTACATGAAATGCCCTCATCTTTCACATACATGGAAATGTACACTATGTTTCAGAAAAGAAGGAAACGGATAATTAAGGTACTACTTGGAAGAGTATGGATCTGTCCCAATCTCAATTCTAGGTAAAGCTTCCGTCTGGCCTCCACCCAGAAAAGGGGCAATCCTTCTATAGATCATTTCCAATACATCTTTCCATCCCTTCCCATCCGCACCCCTCATTCTTGGCTCCTTTTCCTTCACCTGGTCGCACCGTAACAGGTGAAACTCAGACCTGTCCCTGTGATAGTGTAGCCGAGGGCCCCACGCCCAGCTGACGTTGAAAAGGGCTCTTAATTGCACTTGATAAACAAACCTGCAGGGACAGGTCTTGCAAAAGCGCAGCTCAGGTCACAGGAAGCACCATTCACACTGAGAGGAAGGATCACATGGGTCCTGCTAGTTTACTTGCAAAATGTGAAGCAGCTATGGCTGGCTATTTGAATTTGGCCACAAAAAGCAAACTCAAGTCCTCCAGCATTTTGTGTTGTTCATGTTAGTAAAAAGAAGAGAAAACTATTAAAAATCCAGACCATGAACTCTGCAGATTACCTTAATCCAGACAAAAAATACGATGACAGCAGCTATATTGTTGAACTGTATTTGCCAGTATGCCAGATGCTCGAAGTTGGGGAAAGTATTTTGATCTTCTCGAAACTGTAGTAGCACCTCCACACTGGATGTTCTATATATGTTAATTCCTATAGCTACCACTGACAGCTGGAAAACAAAAGATTTATATATTATTACAGTGTTTTAGAAACATGTAACTTACCTTAAAATGACTATTTTTCCTTACCCATGTATTACTCCTAGGGCTCACCGACTACTTATCTAAATCACTCATACGAATGACAAGCGTTGAGCACAGCCACGAAACAGGTGTAACAATAAGCCAGCTGCATTCCCTTAGCTGGGAAGAGAAACCCACTGAGTACACGTGTACGTGTGCACACGTGCGTGCGAACACACACACACATGACATGTTGCTATATTACAAACTCAAACTCAAACAGGAATGCCTTGTTTTTTCTGCCACCCTCATTGAAATCATGTCCCCCCCTTCTCAGCCTCATCTTGCTTTGTTTCTGTTTTTGTTTTCAATTGCCAGCCATACATTTTTTCTACTATTCAACAAATACAAGTGGATATCTATGTATACAGTACTGTGCCAGGGGCTAAGAGGAAGAGTAGAAGTAAAATGCACAAACTCTGTTCTCAAGAAACTTATACTCTGGTTCAAGACCAGATATACACACAAAAATAACTAGTAACACAAAAACCTAGTAAGGAGTTGGCATCACACAACACAAGGTGAAGGATGAACAAGACATATCTAAAAAGAGTGCTCTTAAGAGGAAAGAAGATGCTTGGTCTTAAAAGATGGTGTGGATGAGGGTCAGAATGGGCTCAAGAAGACTTGCAGTGGGAATATATGTGAGCCAAGGGTTTCCCTCCTGCTCGTTTCTGTCCCTTAACTCATGACCATGCAACTTTTCACATCGGCTTCAGTTCTGGGCTCTAAAACCAGATCTGAGGAGAACATTGGGCCCTACTTGCATCCATCACCACTAGATTAAGGTGTAGGTGTGGAAAATGCCAGAGGTTAACCATTACAACCTGGGCCTCCTGTGGGGTCTGAAGTCACAGCAGGTGGGTTGTCACAGGTGCTGAGACCTTTGCTGTCCATTCCCTTTCTCTTCTCATGCATGATAGTCAAAGACCACTTCATTAGCCCTTCTTAAGATGGCTGTCTTGATCATGGCTCAAGGTGATTATCATAACAAAGACCAGCCTGGCTACCAACCACAGCTGAAAAAGCCAACATCACCACCTTTTCTTTGTCTGGGAAGGATTCCCAGAACAAATCTTGTATTTTTGTGCTGGTGGTGGGAATATTTTCCTTGAGTTCTCTGGAATACACTGAAAATATGTCTCTATGTTGACTTAGTTGAGAGGGAAGGGTTAACTGACTGAACAATAACTCTTTACCCAACTCTCACTAGGGACGATTGCTTTGTACCCAGGGTGTAGTCGTTTATACAACGTCAATATCATATCAGTACACTGAATTTCCCAGAGAATTTTTCTTGAATGAGAGAAAAGAGATGAGGGAAAGAGATTTTCTAAGCACTTGAGTTATGTTCTCCTGAGTTTTCTTTGGGATTCTCATCCCCATCTACAAAAGAACTTTCCTTCCTTAATGTAAGCTTCATAAAGGCAGGGGTTTGGGTTGTTTTGTTCAGTCCTATATCCCCAATGCCTAGAACAATGCCAGGCACATAGTAGGTGCTCAGAAAATATTTCTTGAATAAATAATCATTTTCATCCTTGAAACCTACCAATCAACAAAATTATTTGAATTCAGACTTCTTTTTCTTTTAAGATTTTATTTATTTGAGAGAGTGAGAGCAAGAGAGCTAGAGCACGAGTGGGGGGAGGAGCAGAGGGAGAGGGAGAAGCAGGTTCCCCACTGAGCAGGGAGCCTGATACGGGGCTTGATCCCTGGACTCTGGGATCATAACCTGAGCCGAAGGCAGACGCTCAACCGACTGAGCCACCAGGCGCCCCGAATTTAGACTCCTTAATAGTCTTCTTTTTATCAGTAATTCTGCTAGAAAGACTGTTTAGGTCAAATAGGTTGACTAAAGTAAGCCCATAGATTTCAGAGTCTTTGTTAAAGAAACAAAAGGAAAACAGGGAAAATAATTTCAAAATGATTCCAAGATGTTATATTTATATTTAGGGTAGAATTACTTCTCAAGTTCCAGGTGTGCCTTAGTCTGATAAAAATGCCTTTGCTTTTTTTCAGGGGGTTGAAGGTCCTGTGTAGCACTGGGCTTATTTTGGAGGGTGAGCAGAAGGTGTGCCCTCATTTCTGCTAGGTCAGGGAAAGTTTCAAAGGAGAAGAACGATTCCAGTAGCCCTTCCTTATTCTTTACAAAAGCACACTGTCTGAATTGTTGTCTTGGCAGTACTTAGAGTTCAAAAAAACAAGAATAGCACAATGAAGCAAGTTTTCAAAGAAATACTTGCAAAATGTTGTGGCTGCTGAGCCAAAGAAACGATCCTCAATTTCCATGATATCAACAGCTATTTTCTCCAAAGTGGGTACAAGGCAATTCCCTGGGGTGTGGAAATAAAATATGAAAATTTCTATCCAAGTGAAAAGAAAGTATTAGAATTCTATTTGTATTTTTTTAACCCAATCCTTCAAATTCTCTGTTGTCTATGTTTTTACAAATGTACCTATTATGCCTCCCCACACACTCACGCAGAGTTTATAAATAAATGGAATATATTAGGGTGTGTTGTTAAAGTTTTTACTGATAGGTGTACATAATCGAAGAGGTTGATTGCCACTAACTATTCTTTTGCTGATACTGAAGGTATTTGGTTAAAATCCAAACAAACCTGCCATTAATGAGCATATCACACTCACACTCACCTTTTTACCTTTATTCTCACTGACTTAACTATAAATATATCCATATAAACTAAAAAGGCAGGGTTTGCAATCTTAGGGTTCCAAACAATAATTGTTTTCTAGAATAATTTTTTTTTTTTTAAGATTTTATTTATTTATTTGACAGAGAGAGACACAGCGAGAGAGGGAACACAAGCAAGGGGAGTGGGAGAGGGAGAAGCAGGCTTCCTGCGGAGCAGAGAGCCTGATGCGGGGCTCGATCCCCAGACCCTGGGATCATGACCTGAGCCGAAGGCAGACGCTTAACGACTGAGCCACCCAGGCGCCCCTCTAGAATAATTTTCAATGTATATGGACCCACACTCTTCCATCATGCAGTTCAGAAATATGTTGAAAAATTACTTCCAGTATCCTTGCCTTTCCTGCCTCCTTAAATGGTGAAATTCCTTTGTTACTGTTATTAATATACCGAGAATTTAGGGATCCACAGTTTGCCTACAGGAATTGTGTGATGTTACATAGTCATCGTGAAAGAAGGGATGCACTTCTAAATGCATCAGGGTCGAACGGGTTCCACCCCGAATTCTACAGGAATTTTTATTTGAAGTAAAAGCTCTTTCTGAATTACAGATGCATGTAGCCTGAGAGGCAATGGCAGAGTGGCTAAGGTTAGCTAAGGTTACCGTGAGAACTGAGTGTACATCTGGATATGAAAAGCACTTGGAACTGTGTCTGACACGCATGACTTCTAAAGCTTTAGCGATTATTATTGTTATTGCTCCAGTTAATATTATTGTCATGCAATACAGATCTATATAGTTCTTTTCAATGTCTTAAGCATTCTTTTACTCACATATGAATAACATTTTTCTATATTTAAAACATCTTAATAATATTTTCTATATTTTGCCAACTAATTGTAGTGATGATCTGATAATGGCTTGATGTAAATGCTTCACGAAGCCCAAATGAACTTTTGGTTGTTATGGGCAGGGGGAGAATAATGGCCAAGAAGTAGGGTAATGGAAGAGAGAACCCTGATAGGGTAATGCACCACCTACTGAGATTTCAGGGGGGCTCTGTCAGCGGGCAATGGGCAGTGGAAAGGACGGGCTTTTAGGCACGTAACAATTAAGCCTGCTCTTACATGCTTCGATGTGTAACAGGACTCAGCAAAAGATCATGCGTTCTTGCTGAAGGGGGAAAAGTTGGTCAAAATGCATTTTTCCAGGGAGGCCCTGGCAGGAAGTGATGAGGATGATGTGGAAGGGAAACCATGTTGAACAAGTGTAAAAATTATAATAGTCAAGGGCAGGCAGGGGGTCTACAAGGTGTCATAGTCTCGACTCTATCCTCACTGCCTTCTGATTTTCTTGAACCTGATACAGAAAACGTGGATGGTCCCTCACTGGTATTTTGTCTTTTTTTTTTTTAAGATTTTATTTATCCGAGAGAGAAAAGAAAGAGAGAGAGAGAGAGATCACAAGCAGGGGTAGAGGGAGAAGCAGGCTCCCCACTGAGCAGGGAACCCAATGCGGGGCTCCATTCCAGGAGTCCTGGGATCACGACCTGAGCCAAAGGCAGACGATTAACTGACTGAGCCACCCAGGTACCCCCTCACTAGTATTTTGTACGCTGAACTATTTGCAGGAAATTTTAAACTGCTACCCCAAATATTTTCAAGATGTTTCTTCTTGCTGTAACTTTACACATGTGCAGAAAAATACAAAATAATTTTTGCTAAAAAAAAAAAAAAAAAAAATTTTTGCTAGTAGTTGAAGACAAATATCATTAACAATAACAAAAAAGAATAAACAAAACATTCTTTTCTCCCTCATGTCTCATATGGCATGCCAAAGCCAAATATGAATTACTAAGTTATTCTTTTTTTTTTTTTTTATGTCTTGGAACTCTTGCTGTATCAGCACATACGATCTTTCATTTTTTAAAAAAATTATTTATTTGTTTTTAAGTAATCTCTATACCCAACGTGGGGCTCAAACTCAGGACCCCGAGATCAAGAGTCACATGCACTTCCAACTGAGCCAGCCAGGTGCCCCACTAAGTTTTTCTTGTTATTAGTGTGGCTAATTGATAGCTTATCATAAATACCTCTCTACTTCTATATTCAGAAGGGTTACTCATGCAAAATGAGATATTGATTAGTAACACTGAAGTTGAAATAGCAGAGGAGAACGTTTAGATTCTCCTTCAGGAATATCAGAATCCACAATACTGAGGAGATAGATCAAGGACTCTAATTAACATGTTTTTATAACAGAGTAGGGAATTTGGTGTTGTTCTCAAACCTACCACAATGATCACAACATCCAGACAATTCCAGAAACTCCTGAAATAGTGTAGCTTGTGAATGCGAATTTCCAATATCTCTTCCACCACATAGTAAAGGATAAAAAAACAAAAGATAATCTCACAGGCTGCCAGGAAGAAATCAAAAGTTGTGACATATCGGATCAGCTTTACAGGCTGAAATTGCCAAGATGGAATCACACCGCCTGTTGCTGGGAATTCAACCAATAACCTGCGTTGCAATAAGAACAATTAAAACAGTAACAACAACAACACATGGATGCAGCCAGGAAGGACATCCATCTATTCTGTCCCTGTACTAATAAGGGATTGAAACGGCAGCTACAAGTCACCCCAAAGTCGTGGCAGAGTATTTTTAATCACAGCTAGTAACTACATACTTGTACAATTCTGTGCCCCCAAAAGGAACAAGACTTCCCAAGTCCTCCTAAAGAGATTACTCCTCCTCAGTCTCCCCTTTACTTTTTCGGTATTTATACTCCTCAAAATGCTCTATAGTTTTGTTTTGTTTAATGTAGAAGTTAATCAACAAATAAGCCTTTCTAGGACTTTTATTAAATCCAAGTAATTCAACTAGGCAATGAAGAATGTAAGAAATATAACTCATGCATTCAAACATGTATGGCCTGTCGAGAAGTAGGATGTGTGTGTAAGTATATATATGTGTGTATGTGTATATATACACAAACTGGGTTTCTCATTCATTCATTTGATATCACCTAACTAGCACTAATAATTTGCCCTAGGGGCTATTCTTGCTACCCTTCCCAGAGCCTACAGTTAATAGGTGTTCAGTAAATGTCTGACAGTCTAAAACAGTAACATGTATTTTTTTACAGTCACACTGATGGCACTGATGTTTAGTGTTTTAGCATAACTGAAGTGAGGATGTTTCTTGCCTAACTCCCATTTCATAGGTGTCACAGTGAGAAAATTCAATGATTCGTTTAATGGTACAACTTCCCTATCAAACTAGAAATAGAATACCTAGCTCCTTAAGACTTTTAAAAAACCTTCAGTCAACTATTAGGTATAACTATCTCTCCCTTTCCAGGATGGGTAGCCACACCTAGAGCCTGAGTGTCTAGGACTCAAGCAAGAGCAATAATCAGGTCCAGGCAGAGACTACGGCAAATTAGAATTGGTCAAAGAAGAGTGAAAATTCTTCCTTCCTCTTCACTGTCAATCTCCTGTTTTTTGTTTGTTTTTTGTTTTCTTCCTATTCGATGTGTTGGAGAGTATGGGTAAGAACCAAAAGCCCAGGAGAGCAATACTGAAATGAAGCGCCTCGTCATAGGTTCAGTGTGAACTTGGAAGGGCAGAAAGTAGCCTCTGTGCTCTCTATCCTGCTCTGGCCCTGCGTCTGTCAACCCCTCCAGAAACGTAGACAGCAGCAGAGAGAAATGAAATAATCGCCTTGACAATATTCACTTGTCAAGTATGGGGAGGAAGTAGAAGACATACTCAAGGCCTTCTATAGATATTCCCTTCAATTTCAATCAGAGTTGAGTGCCTGTTTTTATCCTCTCTCTATCCGCACTGAAATCGTTAGGAAAAGTTCAATAATAATTGCAATCGATTTTCATTCATTTCTAGTAATAACTCATTTGACTTCATGGGATATTATTTCCTTCAAAAGTTGTTAAATACATGGTCTGGAAGAATCCAACTGGCCATGTAAAGCTGGCATGCATTTAGCCTCAAAAATGATCACAAAATAAGGATATTATGAGAATTTATCCTTCTTATTTGGTTGGTAAATATATATGCAAGTAATTCATGCCAGCGATGTCTGGGTGTTGCTGACATGTTCACCAGGAGGATTAAAGGGGGTGAACTCTGGATCCCCCTTGCCTTGTTTTACTTTTTCTTTTTTATAGTACATACTACCTTCTAATATACTATTTAATTAATTTGTTTCTTTCGTTTATTGTTTATTGTCTATCATCGGTCTCCTCCTGGTTGAGTGCAAGCTCTGTAAGAGCAAGGATTTTTATTTTATTCACTTATGTCCCAAGAGCCAAGAACAGTGCCTGGTACATATTAAGTGTCCAATATATGTTTGCTGAATAAATGAATGTATGAACAAAAGGCCCCAAACAAGCCCATAGGATTTTTGTCAGTTTTCTCCCTGCTAACCAAGTGATCATGATGGCAATGTCACAGGATCTCAGAAGGAACTTTATGTGCCTTTAGTGAATCTTATGTGTAAGCAGATGCCTGGGTATTCTCCTGAACCTAGGCATAGCCCCTGACTGCCGTGCTTGTATTCTTAAATAGCATGGGCCTCATCTGACAGTGGGAAACTCAGGGAAATGAGTCAAGATTTGATGGCCAGAGGCCCTGGTAACAGAGCATATAGCACTGATCATCTTTATAATGAGTAAGAATAGATGTTAGCAAAATACGGTGCTTTTTCTGGGAAGGTTCCAGCTTTGGGATAAACTTGGACCAGACTTTTAAGTTTCTTCCCAACTCATAATATTCTAGGATCCTAACTCCCTTTCACCAAATATATTTATCTCACTAAGCCTTTGGTTTTCACCCTTCCCTTGCTATTGACTCTGATCCTCAGCACTCTCTTTTAGCTAACTGCAGCAATGGTTTCCTGGTCTCTCTCAAGACTAGGATGTACCTACAAATACACAGACGTGGGAGGGATCAGTGCCCTTGGTACACACCTGATCACACAGAACAGGTTAATGTTGGCGTTGTATACTGAAAAGTCAATAAAAGTTGCCCTGGTTCCTCGGTCCAGCCAGCCATTTTTCTTGAGGCTAGCAACCTGGGCAGCTGTCTCCTCTCTTGTTCTTGACAAATCCAGGTAATAGCCAGCTCCGCTATAGGTTGCAATCATTCCCCAGTGGCTACTCCCATTCAAGTCTTTTTCACTTGTGTAGATCCAACTAATTAAAAAACAAATGAGAACAAAACAAACAGATAAAATCAGTGGAACTCTTATGGCAAATGCAAAGGCAGTTGGTTCCTGGTAAGACAGAGTATATAATAAATCAATATAAGTCTTATCAAGCTGGGTAATGTGCTTGGTGTGGTGCTTCGTGTTTTCTTATTTAATTCTCATATACTTATTATCCCCATTTTAGGAACGAGGGCCCTGAAGCTTAGTGAGGTCAACTCAGTCTCAAAGCTTTTGAGGTTATTGTCAGGAACCTACACCAGGACTGCCTGTCTCTAGAATCTGTGCTATTAGCCCTTAGTTTATATGGTTGCCTTCCCTGGGTAACTATACTCAGGGGCTAGATGACTCTAGGCTCTCAGAGAAAATTGCAGCCAAGAGGTACAAGTTCATCAAGTACCACTGTCAGCAACTGAACTAAACAAGACTCCACAGGGCATTTGGGAATTAATTAATTGATTAATTAACTTGAGAGGGGGAGAGAGAGAAAGTGGTGGGGAGTACAGGGAGAGGGAGAGAGAGGGAGAAAATCTTAAGCAGGCTCCATGACCAGTGCAGATCCCAACATGGGGCTCAATCTCAGGACCTTGAGATCATAACCTGAGCTGAAATCAAGAGTTTGACACCAACGGACTGAGCCACCCAGGCACCTTAGGGCATTTGGGAATTTAATCCACAAATACTGACAGAGGTTCTCTTAGGAACCAGATGCTTCTTTGGCATTAATGAGGATATAAAGATATAAAAGGAAAGAACCAAGTTCCTTTCCTTCTCTAATTTACAGTAAATAGGGAGAGAAGAGTCATGAAACAATTAAAATACAAGGTCGATGGATGATATCCAATGGAGAAGTAAGAGAACTTTCTCGGGCAGATCAGAGGAGAGCTATCCTCATCCAGGGGTCCAGTGCCAGGGAAGGTGCATCAGAGAAAGCTTTTGGAAGAAGCCGCAGTGGACCCGGGCTGTGAAAGGTAAATAGGATTCAGGCAGGCACCAGTGGATGGGAAGGGCATTTTCAAGCCTGGGCCCGGCGGGGCCGGAGAAGTACAAGGCACCCAGCTGGCAGCTGAGTTCAGCTCACATACGATGAAGAAAGAAGGCTGAAAGGTAGACTGTGATCAGATTGTGAAGAGCAAGCAGGAAGGGGTCACTGAGGGAAGGTTTCTGAGAGGCATGGAACAGGGTTCCTCCGGTGGCTGCAGGAAAAGACTGGAGTGGCGAGAATAGGGGCCTCACATGTAGCCAAAGGGGCCACAGCGGGTCCGAGACCGCCTTTCCTTAGGAAGGCCTGCTTGCAAGGTTGCAGGGTTATGCCTTGGCTGCCATCTGGAACTTGACTGCTAAACAGCTCCCTACACTGATATAAAACTTGTCTGGCTGCTTCTCTCTCTCCCTCTGCCTCACCTCCCCCCGCCCCCATCCCCCCCAGCCCCGCTCATATGTGCGCACTCTCAAATAAATAACATCTTAAAAAAAAAACAACAAAAATGTTGTGTGACTGGGAAGAGTGGCTGTCTGTACAAACACAGTGGCTCATGCCCAACACCTGCTTTCCTTCTGGACTGACTACCTTGGGCACTGAGTCTCTAACGAGCCTCTCTGACAGACAACATTTCATACATGTCGTTATGGTCCGTTATAGGTTGTAGCCCATCATGGGGCCTGTGTGACTCCCACTGGGAGAGCACTTTTGGGAGCCTGCATTTTTTTTTTTTCCTCCAAACTCTACCCCATGTGCCTGTACCCTCTGCTGCTTCTGCTTTTATCCTTCTGTTGCACTGAAGCTTAGCCATGAATGCGACTGGGTGACGAATCTTGTGAATCCTTCCAGAACATCACTGAACCTGGGAGTGGCCCTGCGGGCTCTGACACAGCTCAGTTAGCAGTGCCTGCAATAACCCAGAGGTGATGATGAGGCCTGAACCAGAGCAATGAGAGGAAGACAGGAAGACAGACAGGAAGGATGGACAGAGGACACTGCAGTGACTGTCAGCAGAACGTGGCCTCTGATTTGGAAGTTGAAGCGAGGGAGAAGGGACATCTGAAAAATGATTGGAGACTCTTTTTGGATAATGCAAAGGAGCTGGTAGGACACAGGTAGGATACAGATTTGTTTTTTGTTTCCTATCACTAGAACATAAGCTCTGTGAAGACAGCGGGTTTGTTTCTGTTTTGTTTCCTGCTGCTTTGTTACCCCAGCCAGCACCAAGGGCGTTTCTAGAAGAGGGAGACTTCACTGAGAAAATGCTGGCCCATGTTAACACTCTGTATATTTGTTAATGAAATGATAAATTATCAAACAGACATGAGAGAGGAAGCCACTGGAATGCCGAGGGAAAAAACGTAAAGAAAGAAGAATATAGAACCTAGGAATGAGAGAGAAGCGGGAGAGTTAAGAGGAGGATTAGAGAATGAAGGCAACCCCAAGTTTAGTGTCTCTCTCAGAAGTCAAAAGAATGAGCAATCAACCTAGCCGGTTTCTGCAGAGGTTGAATGGGATCGAGATCGAGAATTGGTCATTGGGTTGGCAAACTCAACAAATCCACTGGGGGCTTCCAAGAGAGACGTCAGAAGCACAGGGCTTAAGCTTTAAGGGGTGAACCAACGGTAAGGGAATGGAAGTGGCAAGTGAAGGCTCTTCTTTCCTAAAGCTTGTGGAGTTCAAGGGAAGGAGACATGGGAGTAACGTGAGAATAGGGCAGCATCAAGGGGTGGTTGAGACACATGGTGGTCCATCCCAGAGTGGAAATCACCCATTCACCCATGCCTCTGGTGGGTCTTCACTGAGCAGCTTTAGATACCAGGCAGCGGCCAAGGCTTTGAGAATACAGCATTGAACAAAATACAGTCCCTGCGCTCCAGAAGCCTGAATACTGGTAAGGAGCTGAGGGCGGCCAGGAGCCACCCAACAGCGTAATTAATATGGAAGAAGCGATGTGGTTTAGTGAAGAAACATGGGTTTTGGAGTCAGGCTGGTTAAATCCCAGCATGGTTCCATTTACGAGCTGCGATGCTTTGGGTAAGTGAGCCTCAGTTTTTTCATCAACAAAATGGAGATGACATGTATTTCAGGTTGTTTTGTGAAAGCAGATGAGATAATGCATGAAATCACTTCTTAAATACCATCTGGTAGTGGCTGCATCCACTGCTCTTATTAATGCTATGAGATAGAGTAAAATATTAAACCAGGTACTACAGTTTAAGGGCATGTTTATGCTTTGCAGGAGCTAGAAAAAGGAGTAGAGCAAAGTCATTATCAAAGCCGGACAAAATGTCTTTCAGGATGATTCAATCCCTTTATGCTAAATCTTCTGACCTTTACTTAGTGTGTTCCTTATGGACCCTGGTACTAAATAAGGTATGCGCTGGATGATAGACAAAGAATCTGATCATGGGAAGGCTGTCTGCCCCCACTGTATATTAACAAATCTGGAGTCTGGGTGTCTCAGGTCAAAACAGGGATCTAGATGAACTGACAGAATTAGCTTAGTAAAGTCTAGAAGACTATTCTAACCATACTGACTCACCCAGGGGCAGTGACCCTAAGAGGCCCACCTTGGGACAGCTTGAGAGCTCTTCTTATTTCTTTATAATAACTACAGTAATTCTAAAAGTAATGATTATCCTCCCCCCCCCTTTTTTTTAAAGATTTTATTTATTTATTTGACAGAGAGAGAAAGCACAAGCAGGGGGAGCGGGAGAGGGAGAAGCAGGCTCCCCGCCGAGGAGGGAGCCTGATGCAGGACTTGATCCCAAGGACCCTGGGATCATGACCTGAGCCGAAGGCAGATGCTTAACCATCTGAGCCACCCAGGTGCCCGACTATCTTCCCTTAATACATAAGATGTTTTAAGTATGATTACAAAAGAACACCAAAAATCCCTGCAAATATGCACATGGACAATACATACTCAAAATCATAAACACACACTTGAGAGGACAGGCTTTAAAGCAGACACGAAACTGCCTCACAAGCTTATTACACACTTTAAATACCTGTACTTTGAACCAAAATGTATTTGTAAATGCTAGTAAAATGAGAATTTCTGTACCAGGATAGTTCTCAGTAACAACCTAGTGAATGATGTCACCGGATCTAGAAAAAAAGGATCCAGACATCTTCAAAGAAACCTCCAAAGGCCCAGGTAGCTACTTTTGATGGGCCATGTGGTCAATAATTTAGCCTTTTGAAAAATATGTATGCAGAAGCTGAAGGGGGTAAAAAGTAGAAAAAGCTTGAGAAACCAAAGGCCAATTTGGCCATGGTCTTAACTCTATGCACTGAAGATTCATTTAAAGCATCTTCTCCTTGGTTAAGGGGTTAGAGGATGAATGAATGAATGAATGAATGAGTGAATGAGAAGCCAGGGCGCGCATGGCCGCCGGGGGCACAGACACTTACGGGGTTCCATTTCTTGGACCGAAAGGAGCTCTGTCTTCACTACTGACTGAGTAGACATCATAGCATTCTTTAATCTCATCTCTCAAGTCCTGGGGGATAGAACAGGATCCATTTCTGACTTTGAGTTGCCGGATACGTGGCACCCCTAACAGGAGGTTCTCGTAGTAGATGAAGCTTCGGTTGTCAGCTTCGGTTCTGTTGCTGGGCTGTGTCTTCCAGTACAGCCCATCCAATAAGGCACCTTCTGTGAACTGAAAGTGAAGGAAACATTTTTTAAAAAATTTGTTAAAAGCCCCAAGCTTAGCTTTGTAGCTGCTTTGCTCTTTCCTGGAATGTTTGTACGACCAACAGTTTGGCAACTCTATAAACAAGCATGGGTTTTGCTGTCAGAAAGATTTGGGTTGGATCTTGCTCCGTCGCTTGTTAGCTGTGAGGCCTTGAGCAGGATCCAACTTTGAGCCAAAGTTCCTGCATCTATAATATCCACCCTTTGCATGGCTGCTACCCTGGTACCCAGTGGGTGCTTAATAAATGGCAACTCTGATTTTTGCCCTAGGACTAAAGGTCAGGGGTGTGGTTCACGTAAATCCACAACCATGATCAATTTTACTTTCCCTTATTAAAATAGCATCCCACATAATCATGGTTCCAAACTTGTCTGGAGAGGAAACATCTAGTTTTGATTACCAGTCTGCCATCTGGTGGATCTTTTAAGTGTCTGGATTATTTTGGCATATGGTGAACTCAGTAACTGACCCTGCCCCTGCCACTGCCCCTGCTTTTAGAGCTTGGCATTCATTACCATGGAACTGTGTATATGGGAGAAGTCTCTTATTAGTTGCCTATGGGGAAGAAGAAGCTGTTTCTCAGTGTCAGCTTATTAGATAATCAGTAGAGATGGACTGATTTGCTCTGTTCAGGAGGGGAGAGATTCCTACTTTACAAGCATGGTTTTGGATGCCAAGTATTTTTAGGCATAAGTATTTTTAGGCATCAGTATTAACGGGTTCATATGGTCCAGTTTCCTCTATCTTTACAACCACCAACTCTGACTCTGGGGTTTAGTAAGAGTTTTAGAAAGCATCTCCGCAGGAAGAAACAAGTCTTTCCTCTCCAGTTCCCCTTCCAGTTTTCTTAGGTTCTGAGCACCATGCCTCCCAGGTCAGTTTAACATTTCTCCCGTGGTTTCACTCATAGCTTATCCTCAGTTACTGTGTTGGCTTTTGTGACAATCTGGGAAGGGGCTGGGTTGAATTTCACATCAGAGATCTCTGAAAGAATGTGCCTGCCTTGTATCAGGCGCTGCTCTAGGGCGCAGGCCATCATCAACAAGGAGACAAAAAACAAAAAACAAAGCAAGACAAAACAACCAAGTCTTGCCCTTATGGGCCATATATCCCAGGAGATACTCAACAGACATTCAATGAATCATGAATGACTGAGTGAATTATAGACGAGGGTGAGGAAGTGTCTGTCAGGCTAGAAACAAGTCCATTTTTCTTACTCCCTAACCATGTGTAAGCATTCTGATTTTTCATCTCCTCATCTGCCACCCGGGTGTAGTATCAGCCCTTACCTCATATGGTTCCTATGGGATTAAAAAAGGGAAGGTATGAAAAACTCTGCACGGTGCAAGGCACATACAAGGTTCTCAATAGAACCATGACTTCTACCAACTCACCACAGCCTACACCTCATACGGTGTCAAGCACAAGGTGGATCCTATAGATACTGCGGACTTGAATTTATGAAACCAAATGAACAATTTTCAATGGTAAAGAGGTACTTTGAAAGTCATTTGCAATACCTTCCAGAAGTCTTCCATTGAAGAAAGAGTTTTAAAGTTTGTTTTCTCTGTTTTGGACACTGGGGTGTCTAGGAAGAGTTGTGACATTATCCGGGTATAGTAGTACACATTGGAGCTCATCATCCCATATGTCACTGGAACACAGAAAAGGCCACGTGAACCCTGTGGGGGAACCCACGCACTCACTCACACACTCCCAGTGGATGGGCAGGTAGCCACAAACATTCTGCTGTGTCCCCTGCCTTCCTTCCCTTTACCATTCTTCTAGGATCTCTCCCTAACTCTTGGGCCTATAAAAGAAAGAAATTCACACTGGCTGATGTGAAACAAAACTGACTTACTACAGAGCATCAAGTGAAGATCAAGCGCCTTCACTTGACATCTGGGACATGCCTATTTAACCTAACCCCCCTCCCGCCATCAGCCCCTCCATGCAGTGAGGCCGCTCCTGGATTAGTCCCTCCATGCAGTGAGGCCGCTCAGAACAGGCCACTACAGAGGCCAGGCCGCACTCCTCGTCCTGTGGCTGGGCATGTGCTGTCACTCTCCCTATGGTAACACGGGCAGGCCGCTCTCTTCCATGTCGGTTCTCCATCCGTCTCTGCTCTGCACCATGAGGCTGACTTCTACAGACTCTACCACATGGGCTCCCTTGCCCTTTGATTTCCCCTGCATTTGGCCCAGGGGAGGCTGAACAGGAAGCCTGGGGGCCTGAGGAAAGAGAGGTTGGGTTTGCTCCCACCACCCTTACTCCATTCCCTCACCACCTGGAGGCAGCTTGGCAGGGCACCCTCTAACCTTGGCCACAGCTGCTGGGAGACTCTCCCTTCCCACAGCCACACTGGGTTGATGCCATGCCATTCCCTCCCCTTGTCCCCCCAGGTCTGGAGGTGGTACCTGTTCCAAGGGCCTCACTCCCCTTGTGGGTTCCCATAACCCTCCCCACTTGTGGAAATTTAAATTTTGAGTTTTGAGTTTTCCATCTCTTTCCTTCCAGAATATACCCATCTGCCTCCCATCTACCTGTCAAATCTTCTACGGAACCCTCTAAACCCAAGCTACATCCCTGCCATGAAGATTTGCTGATTATATCAGCCCATTCCGAATGGTCCTAGAGGGAGATGGGAAGATAATCTATAGGCTTAGTAGGTTATAGGAGATGAGAGGTTGAATCTTGGCCATGCCTGCTACTCACAATGTGACCTGTGCAAGTTGCTCTTTTTCTTTTTCTTTTTTTAAGTTGGGGCTTGAACTCACAACCCTGACATCAAGACCTGATCTGAAATCGAGAGTCAGATGCTGAAGTGACTGAGCCACCCAGGCGCCCCAACCTGCTTAAACTTTCTTAGCTTCAGTTTCCTTTTCTGTAGGATGGGAATAATTAGCTACCCATAGGAGTTTTTGGTGCTTACATAAAAATAGTAACTAGGGGCGCCTGGGTGGCTGAATTGGTTAAGCATCCGCCTTTGGCTCAGGTCATGATCCTGGGGTCCTGGGATGAGTCCTGCATCGGGCTCCTTGCTCAGCGGGGAGCCTGCTTCTCCCTCTCCCACTCCCCCTGCTTGTGCACGCTCTCTCTGTCTCTGACAAATAAATAAATATTTAAAAAAAAACAGTAACTAAAAATTACCCAGTACAGTGGCTGAAACTTAAATGCCCAATAATGATGGTTCTTCCTCCTTAATCGACTTGCTATAACACATGTATTAAAAATTTCAGTACTTAATGAGAACTGTCTTACACTGGACTCTAATGATTGCATGTGCAATACGCTATAATTCTTATAACTGACAAAAAGCTTCAAGGGGAAACACTCCTCTTTTTTTTTTTTTAAAGATTTTATTTATTTATTTGACAGAGAGACACAGCGAGAAAGGGAACACAAGTAGGGGGAGTGGGAGAGGGAGAAGCAGGCTTCCCGTGGAGCAGGGAGCCCAATGCGGGGCTAGATCCCAGGACTGGTCCTGGGATCATGACCTGAGCCGAAGGCAGACGCTTAACAACTGAGCTACCCAGGTGCCCCTCTTTATACTTCTTTTGACTACAGAAGTTTTTCACTTCTTTTAGTCATGGTTCTCAATATCCAGCAGGTGATCAATACTCAGCTGACTCTGTAATAATCTTCAGGCATCACAAAATGCATTTAAAACCTGGTATTAAATGATTTGGAGATTAAGTGCTATTTAGTAAAATCTCATCCTCATATAGCTCCCTTCCCCACCTGAGCAGCATAGAAAATTAAGATTAGTTAAAAAGAGGAATATATAATGATTATTTGTACAGGTCTGTGATTTATCAGTCTTACACAATTCACAGTGCTCACCATAGCACATACCCTCCCCAATGTCTATCACCCAGCCACCCCATCCCTCCCACCCCCACCACTCCAGCAAACCTCAGTTTGCTTCCTGAGATTAAGAATTCCTCATATCAGTGAGATCATATGATACATGTTAAAAAAAAAAAAAGAAGATAGCAGGAAGGGAAAAATGAAGGGGGAGGAAATCAGGGGGAGACGAATCATGAGAGACTATGGACTCTGAGAAACAAACTGAGGGTTCTAGAGGGGAGGGGGGGAGGGGGATGGGTTAGCCTGGTGATGGGTATTAAAGAGGGTATGTACTGAATGGAGCATTGGGTGTTATATGCAAACAATGAATCATGGAACACTACATCAAAAACTAATGATGTAATGTATGGCGATTAACATAATAAAGAAATTTTTTCATAAATGTACAACAAAGGTGAATTTTTTCATAGGGCATTCAGTACTTGTTTGGTCCCACAATTAGTCCTTACAACAATTCTGTTAATTAGATACTACTAACCTCAAAACAAGTACTTCTGATCTTCAGTTTAATGACCAAGCATTATTTAGCATCTATTTTCTGAGAAGCTGTCTGCTAAATACCAACTCTGTGAGGGGCAAGGAACGAAACACTTGATAGTATTCCAGTATTTAGCGGGCCACGGCTTAAAATGAATACAACACTTTTTTCTATTGATCCTTCCTACTCGAGTATTGTGTTGACTTTTGCACAGCCACAGATATTGAAATAAACTGTTAAAGATTAAAAAAAATAAAAAGCAGCATAGATAATAGTGATTCAAACACAAGTGTCTTTTAAAGTCCACTGCAAGCAGTCAATGGATCAATAAATACACACAGTCACGAGGCTTATATGCTCTATCTGGAGGGGAAAGAACGTTTTTCCCATCCCCTTAGTTAGGCTCCCTCACCTGTCCTCCTACGACCCACAAATTAGGATAAGAAATTCCTTTTCAAGTGTTACATGACCTGCCACCTCTCAAAACTATATTGGGCCAGAGTTAAGGGTTTAGACTTTTAATCCATTCATATTTATGGGACAAAGTGCTTATGAAGATAAGCAAGGTGTGATCTCTGTCCTCAAGAAGAAAAGCCAGTAAGTTTCCCTGGGAACAGCATCGCCCACTCAACTCCTATAGAGGAATGGACAAGGTACTATGAGCTCTAGGAAAGCTTTCTGTGGATCCAGAGACAGCTGAGGAAAAAAGGCTGATATGATGCTAGAGGAGTAGTGAAAGAGTCCCCAAAACCTAGTAAGTAATTATGAAGCTGATTTTTTCAATTAACTTGAAATTAGAATTTGCTTTGGATTAATTAATATAGATCATTCTAAATTTTTTACCTGTGGGTTTTTTTGTTGTTGTTGTTGTTTAAAAAGAATTGTACAAATGATTTAAATGTTTTGATTTATAAATATGCTAGTTCTATATGCATATATATAAATATTTTAGCCACTGATTAAAAATTTAACTCTTAAACAAACCATGAGAGACTCTGGACTTCAGGAAACAAACTGAGGGTTACAGAAGATGGGTATTAAGGAGGGCACATGTTGTGATGAGCACTGGGTATTATACACAACTAAAGAATCGATGAACGATACATCAAAAACTAATGATATACTATATGTTGGCTAATTGAACATAATAAAAAAATAAAATAAAAAAATTTCAACTCTTTTGTTTTCCTATATTTTTAATATCGATTGCTTTTGAAATTCTCAGGACCTGTATGGAATTTCATGGCTTCACTAAAAGGGAAGTGATGCATTCCCTTGGCTATTTAGCACCATCTGTTGGACATCCAGAGAAACACTGTCATCTAGCTTTGAAGGGATGATTATTCTAACACATTCAATCAGCAAATATTAACTCAGTCCCTCCCTTGTGCCAGGCCCTGGGCTAGTCCATGGGATATCTTTGAGTGGTAGCTCCTTACGCTCCCGGAATCACCTACACCATGAGTCCACCTAGGTTGTAGCTAAAGGACCTCTGGGATTTGGAAGCAGAATGATTTGGGTTTGAGTTTCAGCTTTGCTTCATCTAGAATGTCTGCCTCCGTGGTCATGATAGTGGGTCTCGGTGTCTTGGGATCTCAGACAAATACTTAACTTACCTGAGCTTGAGTTTCATCAACAAGAAAGTGGGTATAATAACATCTAGGGTGGGATGCCTGGGTGGCTCAGCCGGTTAAGCGGCTGCCTTTGGCTCAGGTCATGATCCCAGGGTCCTGGGATTGAGTCCTGCATTGCATCAGGCTCCTTGCTCAGCAGGGAGCCTGCTTCTCCCTCTGCCTCTGCCGTTCCCCCTGCTTATGTGCTCTCTCTCTGACAAATAAATAAATAAATGAAATCTTAAAAATAACATCTAGGGCTTCTGCATAGTTCAATGGGAGAAATGTATGTGAAGACATTCTGCACGATGTCAAATGCAATAGAAATACAAGACTGTATCATCATTTTCTCTTTAGTCCCTGATGGAGAAAGTCCACTTGGAAGGTAGCATTCACTCTTTAAATGAGCTGAATCATGAAGAAAAAAACTACAGGATGAAATAGATAGCCTTAAATGAGGAACAGAAAGGAGAATGTTAAAAAATATAAGGTAAAGGACAGATATATGTCTATGTGTATATATTTCTTCTATTCTATAGTCCTTGTCTTAACTTCCAAGTTCCCTTTTCCATAAAATAAGCCAGAATAAAAAATATTATCACAGTATCACCAACTAATCAGCATGAAATATAAATAAAGCTGTCTTAAAAACATTCCTCATTTTAAAATAGCAATGGACAGGGCGCCTGGGTG